AAAAAGAAGAAAAACCAAAGCCCAAAGTTAGAAGGATGGGAATAGCAGATCAAAACAGAAATAAATAAAACAGATACAAAAAGATAATAGAAAAGATCAAATGAATCTAAGCCAGGTTTTGGAAAAGATAATAAGCAAAATTGACAGACTTATCTAGACCTACCAAGAAAAAAAGAGGGTTCAAATAAGTAACATCAGGTATGAAGGAACAGATGTTACAATTAGTGCCACAGAAATACAAAGGATCATAAAAGACTGCTGTAACAATTATATGCCAACAAATTGGGCAATGTAGAAGAAATTGATAAACTCCTAGAAACATACTACTTACCAAGACTGAATCATGAAGAAATAGAAACCCTGAACAGACCAATTACTAGTAAAGAAATTGAATCAGTAATCAAAAACCTCCCAAGAAACAAAAGTCCAGGAACAGATGGTGAATTCTACCAAATATTTAAATATATTCAATCCTTCTCAAACTCCTCTAAAAAAATAGAAGAGAACATTTCCAAACTCATTTTATGGAGGTCAGCATTATGATGATACTAAAACCATACAAGGATATCACAAGAAAAGATAATTATAGGCCAATATCCCTGATGAACACAGATGCCAAAGTTCTCAAGAATTTCTTAGCAAACCCAATTCAACAATACAGTAAAAGGATCATACACCATAATGAAATGGGATTTATTCTGAGGATGCAAGGATGGTTCAATATCTGCAAATCAATGTGACTCAACAAATTAACAAAAGGATAAAAAGCATCTCAATAGATGCAGAAAAAGCATCTGATAAAAACTCTCAACAAAGTGGATATAGAGGGAAAATACTGTCACATGATAAAGGTTATATAACAGAAGCCCACAGCTATCATTACATGCAATGGTGAAAAGCTTAAAGTTTGTCCTATAAGAACAGGAAAAAGACAAGGATGCCCACTCTCCCCACTTTTATTCAGTGTAATATGGGAAGTCCTAGCCAGAGTGAATTGAAAAGCAAAAAGTAAAACTGACACTATTTGCAGATAACATAATATGTATAGAAAACCCTAAAGACTCCATTAAAAAACTGTTAGAATAAATGAATTCAGTGAAGTTGAAAGACACAAAAATGACTATACAAAAATCTGTTGCATTTCTATACATTAATGACACACAATGAGAGAAATTAACAATCCCATTTATAATTGCATCACAAAGAATACCTAGGAATAAGTTTAACCAAGTAGATGGAAGACATACACTGAAAACTATTAGACATTGATAAAAGAAATTAAAGATGAAACAAAATAAATGGGAAGATATTCTGTGCTCATTGATTAGAAAATTAATATTAAAATGTCTATAGTACCCAAAGCAATCTGCAGATTTAATGCAATCCCTATCAAAATTCCAATGACATTTTTCACAGAAACAGAACAATCTTAAAATGTGGAAGCACAAAAGACCCTGAGTAGCTAAAGCAATATTTAGAAAGAACAAAACCAGAGGCATCATGCTCCCTGGTTTCAAGCTATCTTCCAAAGCTATAGTAATCAAAGCAGTATGGTACTCACATAAAAACAGACACAGATGAATGGAACAGACTAGAGAGAGTCCAGTAAGAGATTCATGCATATGTGGTCAGCTTATGAGAAAGGACACAAGAATATAAAATGTGGAAAGGACAGTATTTTCAATAAATGGTGTTGGGGAAACTGGACAGCCACATGCTAAGAATGAAATGGGACCATTTTCTTATATCATACACAAAAATTAATTAAAATGTATTAAAGATTTGAATGTAAGACCTGACACTAGAAAACTCCTAGAAGAAACCAGGCAGTAAGCTCCTTGACATCAGTATTGGCAATGATATTTTAGAGCAGACTCCAAAAGCAAAGACAACAAAAGCAAAAACAAGTAAGTGGGACAACATCAAATAAAAAAAACCTCCATACAGCAAATAAATAAAAGAAGTGAAAAGACACCTATAAGAGAATATATTTGCAAATTATATATAAGGGGTTAATATCCAAAATGTATAAAAGAACCATGTAACTGAATAGCAAAAATACCCCCAAAAAACAAAACCCAAATAATCCAACTTAATAATGGGTAGGGCATCTGAATAGATATTTTCCCAAAGAAGGCATTGGGAAAGTGAATATTATTCAGCCATAAAAAGGAAGGAAATCCTGCCATTTGCAATAAGATGAATGAAGCCTGAGGGTATTAGGTTAATTGAAATAAGTCAGACAAAGGAAAACAAATGCTCTATGACCTCATTTATATGTGGAATCTGAAATAACCAAACTCATAGAAACAGAATAGATTGGTAGATTGCAGGACTGGTTGTGGAGGAACAGGTGATGGTAGTCTACAGGTACAAACTTTCAGCTATGGGATGAGTAAGTTCTGGGGATGTAGTGTATAGCACGGTGACTATAGTTAATAATACTGTTATATAGTTGAAAGTTGCTAAGGAAGTAAATCTTAAATGTCCTTATTACCAAAAAAACAAATGGTAACTAGTGAGGTGATAATCTTATTTTGGTAATCATTTCTCAATATACACATGTATCAAATCATCACATTGTAGCCCTTAAACTTACACAATAGTATATGTCAATTATATTTCAGTAAAACTGGAAAAAATTTAATACAAAATACTCTGGCAAAAATAATTAATACTGTTTAGTGACCGAATGAGTGAATAATTGCTGCCTGGTAGGAGCAGAGGTCACAGATGGGGAATAGGGACTTGCAGAGGCTGGTCCTGTTCCATCAACTTCAGGGTAGCATTAGGAAAGGGGGGAAATAGTCCTGTTTGGACAGTGCTATGAGGTGGAGGAAGGGCTCAAACAGGTGGAAGAAAGTGCCTAGAAGGATGGTCTTGATTAGGATGCTCTGCTTTGCTGCCCTGAAGACAGGGCCAGATCTCAGAGCCTACCTGATCAGCTTCTGCCCCAGGGGGAACTCAGTTCCCCACCTCCCCCTGCCCCTGGTCTTGGTGTAGGGTGGTCTTCCACATCAGAAAAGGCCCTTGGGCAGGGGCAAAACCCTAAGGCCCACCTACGCTGGACTGAAAACCCTCTTTAAGTAAGGACATGTATTAACAAATTTCAGAAAGAATGAAAGTACAGTTTGAGAGTCCGCTAACTTGCCCAAGGCCTCTCAATAAGATGCCACTGAGCTGAGATATGAACTCTTGGCCATTCTCTTAGCCAGTACATTATACTGCTCTTCTTACTTAACAGCCCTAAGTCTCTATTCATTTCTGTAAAACCAGACTGTTAGTGGTTCCTAGCTCAGGGAGGTACTGGAAATTAAACAGCATAATGGACATCACAGCCTGGCACAAAGTAAGCATGCAGAAAACAGTGGGAGCTCAGCAAGCGCTGTTCCTCCTCCCCAGCCTCAGCTTCCTGTTTCAGGCACTCAGCTTCCATCTGGTTATGACTTGTATTTTAAAGGACTTTCAAAATCCAATTAAATCCTGGAAGAGACTACTCAGACCTTTGAAAAAAGTGATCTGTGACCTAGGAAAAGTTATCCCACTTTGTGGGCCTGTTCTGTCATTGGTATGATGCTGCTCTTAATGCTTCCATGGAAGAGTTCTGAGAGAATTACTGGGCAGGAGAGAGCATGGAGACAGCCCAGCGCCTGCCTTGGGACAGACACACACCCTGCTGCTGCCCTCCATACCAGGGACTATGGTGAGGTGGGAGGAATTCTACCCTGCTTTAACTAAGAGAATTAGGGTTACTTTCCGCAGCCACTAAAAATGAGAGATTGTTGAGAGAACTTGGGATGGTTAGTCCAGAGAACAGAGGGTTCCTATGAACCCAGATGACTGGGTGCTGGCACTTAGTGGAAACCAGAGCTTCTTGGGGATCAAGAAACCCAAGCCACTTCCATCTGATAGTTTCTGGTATATCAAGGGAAAAAAATCAGCTGAAATTTCTGGTATATTGAGAAAAAATGGTATATTTTTTTTAAAGGGGAAATATTTAGTATTTTAAAAATGCTAAAGTGAGTCACAAATACTGTAGCATACCTTAAGTGTTAGAGTTAACAAATGTTAACACAAAAAAATGAACCTAATATAATTGTGCTAGTCATAATTACTAGATTTATGTGTTTTTTGAAAATCTTATATCATAGCGACCGCAGGCAGTGTTGGCTGGCAATTGGACTCAGACTGTTTACAGCCCTGGAGGGGGTACCTACTTGGAGAAAATGACAACATTTTGAGTTTGAGGATGGGTCTACGATTTCACGCTCTGTCTCGCTCTTGGTGATACACGCATTGGAAGAGGACTGGACATTCTGCAGGCCACAGACACCAGAACGGGGCCCTGGAATGAACACCTGCAGAAGGCTGGCTTCTCATGGGCTCAGCATCCCGCCCCCCGCCCCCACCCCCCCAGCCCCTCAGCAAGCTGCGCAGCCCTGAGATGTTGGGACTGGACGAGTAGTACTAGTTACTACTCATTTGGCACGTGTACAGGACATCTGGGCAGCTGGAGCAACGATTTTTAACTTTTGTGAGTTCAAGAAACCCTCTGAAAATTTGATGAAAACGCTGGACCTTGTCCCAGAAGAATTCTATTACCCCCACCCACCCACAATCCTCCCTCCCAGCCCCCCAGAAGCGCCAGAAGCCCGCACACTTCAGGGGAAAACCGTTGGCCCGAGAAAGGCTCAGCCACTCTCTAGGGTCTCCCCCTACCTTGAATTCCGTCCGCCGCCCCCACCCACCCCAGGGAGCACTGTCTCGGGCACAGGCTGGCTGTGGGCAGTGCACGAAAGTGGGGCCGCGGGCCGGTGACACGCTCCCCCTCCCACCCTCGGGGGGACCCGAGAGCCGCAGCCGGGGCTGGGCGGGCGCGGTGCTAGCGTCTGAGCCCCACCCGCGGACGCCCCGGGCTCCGGGAGGCGGGAGCAGGGCCCCGCCCCGGACAACGTGACCAGCCAGCTGGGCCCTCCGCTCTGGGGCTCAGACACTAGCACCGCGCCGCACGCAGGTCCCAGCCCCGTTCTGGGGCCACCCCGAGCCATGAAGATGCACTTCTGTATCCCGGTGTCCCAGCAGCGGCTGGACGCGCTGGGGGGCCACTACGTGGTGCGCCAGGGGCCGGGGACCGACTGGGCAAGGAGGGGACATGGCGGGGCGGGGGCTCACCTGGTCGCTCACCTCAGTCGGGATGGGATGTCTCTGTGTTTGCAGCTGTACTCCGTGTACCTGGACGGCTTCCTCTTCTGCAGGGTGCGCTACAGCCAGCTGCATCGTTGGAATGACCAGGTGAGCAGCTCCAGGGCAGGTACGAGCCCGTCCATCTGAGGCAGGTGAGGAAAAGCGCGCCCAGTGGACTCTGGGAGCGTGACTCTGGCAGGACACTGGCCTTCTGGAGGGCTTCAGGCTCCTAATCTGCGAAACAGGGCTGTGGTAAGAATTAACTGTGGTGCTTGCCAAACAGCTCAATGAATACGTGCTGCTGCTCCTAATGATCTACAGCTGGGAGATGAGGGACCAGGAAGCAGGCGAATCTCCCAACCCCTTCCCAGCGGAGTGATCCCCACCAGGACGGGTGCTGGGTGATTATGGGCTCCATTTCAGCACCAGCTATTCCCTAGGACAAATACAAAATGAGTAAATTCCACATTCAAAAGGAGCAAATCAAGTCTGGACGAAGGTATAGTTTTAGGAATCTTGTACATGGTATTTAATCTCCTTTAATTTGTGTACTTAAACTCCCAGAGTTTCTTAAACTTACCCCCTTTATAAAGGCATGTCTGTATTTTTGTTTTCAAACCACAGAGGTTATTCATAGGTTTCAATTACTGACAGGCTGGAAAGCCGGAAATAGATGAGTATCAAGACAGGAGGCAATTTCCCACTACAGTTTCTCCCTGCGATGTCCTGATGGCATTTTTTCTGGTAGGCAGATTGATTTATTAGCTACTCTGGTGGGGTTTATTGTCCTAATTAGGAAGTAAGTGTTGCAAGTCTTCAAAATGGGATAAAGGAATAAATGGAAGTTTAAAAATAAACTTCACAGTCCTCCCAGTCCTATGCAGTTTTTTATTTTTGGGTTTTATATCCTGTTTATAAAGAGAGCAAAAGTTGAAAGAAAGGAAAGGAAAGGAAGAGAGAGAGAAAGGCAGGAGAAGAGAACTCGGCAGGCAGGCAACAGCTATTAACATTTTGTGGGAGTCCTTTCATACTATCTCTGGGTTTCTAGTTAGGAGATACACTGTATCACTATATATCCTTTAACTATCTTCTGATGCACAACTCAGTTCCTTTTTTTTTTTTTTTTGCTATTGAAAATGTCACTGCAGTGAGCCTTCTTCCTCATATCGGAGTGCATAGGAAAAGTCCGTTTTTCAGGTTTAAGTTTCATTTTCCAAGATTAAATTTCTTTGGAGTCAACAAAAAACAGGTGTGATGTGGTTGTTAGTTAATTTGTGTGGTCATCTTTGAATTGCTAGCACCTGGTCCAGTGCCCGTGGTCCCTCAGGAAAGATTGTGGGATGACTGAATGAGGAAGGGCAGTGAATTCTGACTTCTGGAAGATGAGAAGCTATTTGCAACCAAAACATGTCTGGGAAGTTGGGAAGGCTGTGGAGGAAGGCAGATGGGGATATTGAAGGAGAAAGTACAGGCGTCTTAGGCATTTGGGAGAGGAAGCCGAGGTATCACCTCCTATCCTCTGTCTTCCTATAAGGTGATGTAGGATGGGGGAGGTAGCCCCCCAGGTGAAAAGCATAGACAGCTGAGAAGAGAAAGGAGAGCTTGGAATTGCATGACCACTTCCTGGCTAGTCACCGTATCTCTTCTCTGACCTTCAGTCTTTTTGTCAGAAATAATAGGCAAATAGGTGGTTATGGAATTCAACCTCACCGGGTACTGGTGAAGAGTAGGGACCAGCTTGTCACAGAGCCTGGTACATAGAACATGCTCAGTAAATATTTACTAACTCAGAGGCTTGAAGAATTCCTGAATCTGGCCCTCCTTAACCAGCAGACTCAAGAAAACACTTGTTTTCAGAAAAACTTGGACCTCTCAAATCTTAGCACGTCCAGAAACAGAGACATGAAGTGAGTAAATTTGTAATCCTGACCTTGGAAGCTGTGAACAAGAGACTGTTTACTATTCATTGTAGTGGATTCTGTAATACTGAAATAGTGTCACTGCCCAGTGCCCTCTATGTGGTATACAGTAGACAGTAAAGAATACTCCATATTTATCCCAGGTTTTTCAAAATCCTAAAGTGGAGATTTCTTCATGCAGTGTCCAAACTACCTTATACCTAAACTTACCATTTTTTCCCTTTTCTGTAGGAACAACTTCATTTTAAAGAAACAATTTAGATCTTAGTTGTCTATTAGCATTTATAAATAATTTTAAATGATAACTAACAAGCAGTTACTGCATGCCGAGTTTGGTGCCAAGAGCTTACATGTAACAGTGTGTTCAACTTTTATAACAATCCTATGAGCCAGGACTATAATCAGCCCCATTTAACAGATGAGAAAACTGAGGCAACAACTTGCCCCAAGTCATACAGCCTAGTAAGTGCTATAGCCAGGATTTGATCTCTAGAACCTGCTCTGACCCATTACATTTTGTAGTTTCTTACTATAGCTGACAAAATAAATTGTATCAGTAAAACAATTGAGTTCTAAACTAACATACTTTTATTTTGGAATAATGAAATTCCCCATTTTTGGGTGTTCATTGTAGTGAATTTTGGTAAATATAAGCAGCTACCACCTTCATAATCAAGATAAAGAACAGCTTACCAAAGTTCCTCTTGTCCCCTTTGCCCTTGATCCCTGCCTCTACCTCGGCCCCACATGACCAAGATCTCTCTGTCATCAGAGCTGCAGCCCAGGACCATGGTTGACCCGCCCAGCAAGCCCCTGTAAGGTCAGCAGTGTGATCGTTGTCATCATTTCCACAGGGTAGATAGAAAAGTCTGAGTAAGGTTTTGCAAGATTTAGCAAATAAAAATACAGAAACCCCAGTTAAATGTGCATTTCAGATAAATAGCAAAGAATTTTTCAGTGTGAGTATGTTCAATGCAGTATTTGGGACATACTTAACTGGGTATTCTATATTTTATCTGGCAACCCTAAGTCTGAGGTTGAAAGATTGGGTGAGCTCTCTTAGCCATTTCTCAGGTGGATTTTATTCTTGCTATTCTATGGAAGATGTGAAATGGCTCAGAATTCTTAATGTAACTCAATACTAAACACTTTAAAAAACAAAACAATATAAAGGCCCTATCTGTGTATTGTGTGTTTGATGAACATGACTTTATTTCCTGGGAAGTTCTGCATGCTGCTAGAATAAAAATTTCATCTTCTGTAATTAACTTATTTGTTCATTTACTTAAACATTTACTAAGTTCCTGTTAGATATCATGCACTCTGTTACAGTAAGTAAAAACTCTTAACTTAAGCACATGTGATCTTTGGTTTTAAGAATTGAGTTTCTGTGTTGTATACTAGATAACAGACTGGGAAGGAGCATCTGTCCAGGTGAGGTGCTTGCTCTTTCTCAGCCAAGCTGTGTAGAGGCTACTGCCTATACGATTGAACCTAGTTTAGATGGTTGTGTTTTCAAAAGGTTAGTTGCGACTCATGCCCTCTAAAGCCATTGCCTGCAGCCCCTCCTCCCGTGATTCTCCCTCGAGGTCTGGCAGCTTGCGCCTTTGCTGCTGAATGCTGCTTATCTCTCTGTCATGTGAACTATTGGACCTGACTTCACTCTGTGCCATTAGATGAATGAAACCAGTTTGATCTGTGCCCCAGTCCTTGATGCACCATTTCCCTCAAATGGGTTTAAAGGAGTCTGTGAAGGAAACTTTTAGCTGACTCGCTTTGGCCAAGTGTTAAGGATGCAGCCATCCCATGTAAGAAGAACTCTATGGATTCTATGAAGAGAATGCTTGCCTCTTTGCCAATGTTCTGCCAGTATCAGGCATGGTAGTGGGAACAAGCTGTGGAAGCTTGCAAAGGATCCTTCAGTGGGAGAAGGGGCTGTGCATGGCAGTGTGCTCAGTTTCAGTGTTCCTCCCCACCCGGTGCTGACCCGGCCTGGCTCCTTCTCCGCTTTCATCTGATGTACCCTCTTCCCCCACATGGACCCTCTGTCCATATCAGGCTGGCCTATTCATTGTCTCTGCTCAGCTCACTTCCCCTTCCTGGGACGATGCCTGCTGTTTGACCCACTTGTCAAGGACCAGCCCTTTCTCAGGGCCCACTTCAAGCCCCACCTCCTCCAGGAAGCCTTCCTGGATTGCACAAGATGTCTTTCTCTGATTCTTGTGCCACTTCATTTTTAGACCTTGTCATGTTCCTCTTTTGTGTGTATATTTGTCTCTCATTATTTAGTTGCAAAAACCAGTATTTAAATGAAAAACCAATAATTAAATAAATGAAGGCTGTAGGCATAACATACCCAGCACAGAAACCTACTTAAGCAGAGGTCCAGTGGAGATTTGGTGAAGGAGGAGGACGACAAAGAGAGGAAAGGTAGGATGATAAGAAGGGGAGGAGAAGGAAAAAGTAGTGAAGAGATGGTGTCCAAATTCTGCCACTCATTAGCTTTAGGACCTTGCTTTAACTCACTTCTACCTGAGCTTCAGGTTACTCTTATTGTTGGGTAACCTTGTCAAGTGGCAATGGTGATCATCTATCCCAAATGGCTGTTTTGAGGAACAAATAGTATAATGTACAAGCTCCAAGCTAATGCTCTTTGGTACCAAATGCCACAACCCAGATTGCTTTGAGCTGTGGCCCTTTATCTGGGGAATCTGGGGTTTTGATTACAAGTGGACTTGCAGAGATGTGTTGAATGAGTCAACATTACAAGTGACCTGTAGGAGGGCCACCATTTGTGTCTCTAATCAACTTGTGCCAGATCACCACTCTGCAGTAGGTATGGAGGGCTGTGAGTGCACAGGGTGGGGAAGGAGGTGATATTTTCAGCCAGCCAGTGAAGTCCTTTTCATGTTTAAAGGTAGAACTGCATGATGGAGAAATCAGTGCAGGAGATTGTGCTGGGATTAAAAATGTATTATCTGAACATCGTATTTCAAAAGCAAACAACCAACCCAAAACACCTCACAATAAAAGAACAGAAGAGGTGTTTTCCCTTTGGTCTCCTTAAACAGTTTTCTGAAACAGTGGGCTAAATTCTAATACCAGATCATTCTCAGTATGCTGGTGGTTAAAATAGCTGCACTGTGTGCTACTGAGACCAATAGAAAAGTTTATATCTTGATAGAGTTGAAGAACTTGTGACATTGATGACTGACTATTGGCAGACTTAACTACTCAGTTTATTACATGTTTATCTTTCCCCTTAGACAAGTATTAGAGAAGGGAAGGGAAGATTCCTGGAGAAGTCTGCTCTGATTGTAAAACCTGCTGGAAGAGTTTCTGTGCTGGGATGGGTATTAGAACCTTAATCCTTGTTGACTTTCCCCAGCTCTTGGCCTTAGGGCAGGGGCTTCCCAGAGATGCTCACCTGCAGGCGAATGGCCCTGGTGGCTCAAGGCTACTGTGATTTTAACCAGCAACCTTTGTGAACACAAGCCAAGGAAGACAATTGCCTTTTAAGGATCACATAATCAGTTAATCAAGAAATAATGGCATGCAAAGAAGACAAATTCCTGCTCTATTTAGTAGACTTGGGGTGCATAAATCCTAGGTGATTTGACCCTCTGTGCTTGGGGTGATGCTCCAGCTGGTGTGTCTTTGGACAGTAGCATGGCAGGTAAATTTCCTTGAATTTAAAAGAAACCAAATTATTGCTATTTTTATGTGTTTTATACTCCTGGATTTAGAGAAAGGTTGCAAACTGAAGTGGTTAGCATGGGTCAGGCAGGTCATTTAAATGAGAGGCATGGATCAGGTGAGTGTAAGTCCAGGGAAAGGAAATCCTGGGGCAAAATAACCCTAAAAACCAAAATCAGTCAAAGAGAGAAATAAAGTTTAAAATCCATTTATTGCTTACAAACTGCAGTCTTAGGCCATCTTTCTTTCCTGCTCCAGCAGAAGCAAAACTGGCCGTCCCCTCACCTCACCTCTGGGGTACAGTTAAGCCCTCCTTGCCCACTGATATGGAGATGAACTTCTCTCCACCCCCGAGGAATGATGCAAATACACTAAGGCCATACTTCTCTCCACCTTTGATCACCTGTTGATATGCAGATGTACTAAAACCAGGTGAGATATTCTGGAAATATTACAGTTTTACCCACAGTGAGGCAATGGGGAATGGTTGAGAACTGCTTAGGTCTCCTTTAAGGAGGACAGTTGCCTGAGGAATGTGAACCAGTGATTCCAGACCTTTAGATTTTTCAAGAGAAGCCAGAACATCAGTTTGGTTTTTGAAAAATACATTTTATTTTTGTTAGACCAGTTTTAGATCTACAGAGTCATTGCAAAGATAGTACTATATCCCTCACCCAGTTTCCCCCATTGTTTTCCATTAGTCTGGCACATTTGTTCCAGTTAATGAATCAGTACTGATGCATTATTATTAACTCTAGTCTGTTATGTATTCAGCCTTCTTTAGTGTTTACCTAATGTCATATTTCTTCTGTTCCAGCATCCACCCAGGACAATACTACATTACATTTAATTTTCATGTCTCTTTAGGCCCCTCTAAATGTCACAGTTTTTCAGATTTTCCTTGTTTTTGATGACTTTCTTTTGAGCAGTATTGGTCAGGTATTTTGTGGAATGTCCCTCTATTGAACTCTGATGTTTTTCATGTGATCAGACGAGGGTGATGTGTGTTTGGAAGGAAGACCACAGAGGTTAAATGCCATTTACACATCATATGAAGGGTGCCTACTATCAACACAACTTATCACTGTTGATGTTGACCTCAATCACCTGGCTGACTTAGTTGTCAGGTTTCACCACTGTAAAGTTACTCTTTCTCCTCCCTTTCCTATGCACAGTCCACACTGGAAGAGTGGGGATTTATGCTCCATTTCTCTGTGGGATGAGTACATAAATTATCTGGGATTCCCCACAGATTTGTCTATCTCTCCTATTTATTTATTCAGTAATTTATGTCTGCATGGATTCCTGGATATTTACCTTATACTTTGGGTTATACTTCAATATTGCTTTATTTTAATTGTTTTTCAGCTTTGGCCCATGGGAGCTTTCTTAGTCTCTGACATATGCCCATTGTTTTTTGTTTTTTTTTTTTGAGCACTTACTTATTTTTCTGGTGCTACAAGATGCTCCAGAATCATCTAGTTCCTTCCTCAGTCCTAGAATCAACCATTTTCCATGGAGGCCTGGTTGCTTTTATTGGAGAATGATCTTAGAAACCAAGATTTGGGCACTTCTGGGTATTCATCATCACTAATGCCAAGTTGTTGTTTCCAAGCCCTCTCAGCTGGCAGGGCAAGGAAAATATGCCTGTATACACATACCTAAAAATATTTTTATATGTGACCATCTGTAACTATATTAAGCTAAACATGACTTCATACCAATATCTCCAATTCATTTCCCAAGTTATATAGGTCAGAACTTTTTCCCCTCATCTGTCACTGCTATGTTGCATACATTTGTAATATAGTTTTGTTATATTCTGTGGTCCATCCTAGATTTCCCCACCCTCTGAAGTGACTGTAATTATTTGTAGTAGTTAAAATCATGTTACAGTGAAGTTCAGTGGGTATGACAAATGCATAGACTCATATATCCACAAGGACAGTATCATACAGAATAGCTCTACTGCCCTAAAAATTTGACATGCTTCCCCAGTTTTGTGGGCCCTCTACCCCAGTTCTCTGGTAACTCTTGATCTTTTTGCTGTCTCTATAATTTTGTCTTTTCCAAAATATCACGTAAATGAAATCATACAGTATGCAGTTTTTTCAGACTGGTTTCTTTCATTTGTCAGTATGTGTTCAAGATTTATCCATGCCCTTTTTTGGCTTGATAGGGTTTTTTTTTTAAGTGCCAAGTAATATTCCATTGTATGGATCACCACAGTTTACTCTCCTACTTAAAGATAATTTTTCTTGTTTTCAGTTTTTGGTAGTTATGAATAAAGCATCTGTAAAAATTAACGTGTGCATTTTTATGGTCATAATTTTCAAATCTGTTGGGTAAATACCTAGAAGCATGCTTACTGGGTTACTACACTTGGCTTTGTAAGGAATTGCCAAACTGTCTTCCAAAGTGGCTGCAGCATTTTGTACCACCTCTAGGACAGAAGTTTAAAAAAATTTTACATCTCAAATGTTGGCATCAAGTTCAAATTCTCTAAAAATCAAACAACTAGCAGACCAAACAAAACATAGTAGGGAGCTGTATCGTACCTAGAGGCAGGTAGTTAATAACCTTTCCAGGCATTAGGGCAACACTGCCCAGTAGAACTTGCTGTGCTGATGGAAATGCTCTATATTGGCTTTGTCCAGTTCAGTGGCAACTTGCCACAAATACTACTGAGTATTTGAGATGTGGCTAGTGTGAGTGAGGAATTGAATTTTAAATTTTATTTCACTTTAATTAAACTTTTAAGTAGTCACACATGGCTAATGGACATCAGATTGGATGGCACAGTTCTATGCCATTGTAAGGATTTGGGCTTTTACTTGAGTGAGATGGGAAGCCATCAAGGATTTCCAGCAGGGCAGTGAATAATCTGGCTCACATTTTAAAACTATAACCATAGGTGCTGTATTAGGAATAGAAGGGGATCAAGGGTAGAAGCAGAGAGCTCTGTTGTAAAGTTGCGGCACCAATCTGGAAGAGAGGTGACAGTGGCTCAGACTAGTGTGTTGGCAGTATAGAGAGAAGTGGTTAGACTGTCAATGTATTTTGAAGTTAGGGCCTACAAAGGTAAATATTTGCCAAATGCATGCTGTATTTATGACAAAGGCCATGGAATTAAAATCCTTACCTGTTTGCAGTCTCATTTCTCTTAGATTTGCTTTCCTAGTCTTTAAGCCACTAACTACAGTAATAGTAAGAGTCAGCCCTTCTTCTCCAGAGATACCATGTTAAAACTTGACTGAGCTTCCAATTGGTTTCCTTTCTCCTATTTTAAAGAGAGTGATGTTATGCTTTATCTTTAAGCTGTTGCTGTCAGTGTAGGGCTGGAATGCATGAAGATAGCACTTTTGGTTACCTTAACTTAAAAATTGTTTTTGATGCATCCACTATTAGCTTGCATATAAATAATTGCCACTATGGTCTTGGCTCATATGTGGTGCATGGGAGGGCAGAGCCTGACTGGGTTTTTAATGGAATATGTCAGCCTTACAGGAATTCTATAAACCAGCACCATCCAATAGAAATATAATATGAGCCACATTTATAATTTAAAGTTTTCTGGTAGTCTGATTAAAAAGCACAAAAAGAAGCAGGTGGAATTAACTGTAATAATATATTTTATTTAATACAATATATCTAAAATATTATCATTTCAACATGTCATAAATATAAAAAGTTATTAGTGAGGTATTTTGCGTTCTCTTTTCTTTGACTAAGTCTTCACAGCCTAGAGTGTATTTCACTCTTACAGCACATGTCAGTTCAGACTAGCCACATTTCCAGTGCTTATGAACCACAGGTGGCTAGTGGCTACCATAATGGCACAGCTGTAAACATCTGTTCATTTTGGTAGATGGGGTGGAGGAATTAAATTCCTGACTGCTGTCATGGATAGCACAGGTACTGTTGTGGGGGGTGAATTAAAGAAATATTGTATGATGTGAGGGGTGGGAAGTCTTGTAAAACAAATGAAATGTTAACATAGCCCAAATCTTCCAAACTCAGACTGGAGTTGTCAGTCTGTAATATGTCCAGTAGTATTTCTAGAACCCTATACTGAGGTAAAGATCTCCTTAAGAAAATCAGAGTATCCCTTTTTCCTCTTGTTGGCCACCAGGAAGGCTTAATTTTAGTAGTGCTGGGGTGAGACTTGCCTGAAGAGAAGGTTTTGGTATCTCTCAAGGCTCCTTGCCCTAACTGTGTTTTCTGGATCTTTCAGCTGAGACGGGTCTTTGGAAGTTGCCTGCCACCATTTCCGCCAAAGTACTATCTCGCAATGACCGCATCTATGGCTGATCAGAGGAGAGACCAGTTAGAACAGTATTTGCAAAATGGTATATATATTTGGATTTCTTTTTACAGATTTATTGAGATATATGTTACACACTGTAAAGTTCACCCATTTAAAGTGAATAATTCAATCGTTTTTAATATATTTATAGAATCGTACAACCATTTTCATGATCTTTGAGAACAGTTTCATCACCCCAAAAATAAACCTCATACTTATTGATCAGCCACTCCCTGTTCCTCTCCCCCACCAGCCCCTATCACCCAATATACTAATTTCTATCTTTACAGATTTGCCTGTTTTAGACATTTCATATAAATGGAGTCATATGGTAGGTAGTCTTTGTATTTGCTTTCAGAAATGCTCTTTGTTCAGATTTGCCCTTGCATACTGTATGTTGACTTTCATTGTGGAAGTCAAAGAAATATTAACTGGATTATATTAACTAAATAAAACTGAGCAGAGAGAGGAGATGAACAGTTCTCATGAACGTTCTCAAGAGATACCAGAGATGATCACTAGCAGCGCCGCCATGGCCCCCCATCTCTGTGCTCACCAGGATGCCCTGCTGAGGCACCAGGGACACTCCGGGGTCCGCTGCGGCCCCTGCGAGCTCGCAGTACAGCCATCCTTGCTCTTGAAAATGCTGTGTTCAGCAAAACTGGCTGGCAAGACCAAGCTCTTACAAAAAGAGGTGGTGGGGAGAAACAGCAAAATTGACATTAAAATATTTGAAGGTTTTCAAAAGGGGAAACAGCATATATGCAAAATGTTTTAAAAGTACAACCTGTCCAACGAGTATACAAAGATACATTCCTTCCACCACAGACACTCCCCTCCCCGCCACCAACAGGCCCCTGGACGTAAACAGTATCACAGGTCACGTATGTGTTCCGCAGGAACCATCTGTGTTTCTACAGGTGTGTATGTACGTCCCTGTTTGTTAAACACAAGTTGAAATTTACACGTTTTTTTCTTTACTTTTTTAAAAAACATTTTATTCTGAAAGAATTTCTGACTTACAGAGACGTTGAAAAATAATGCAAGGAATCTATATATGCCTCATACAGATTTCCCAAATGTTAACATCTTATGTTGGCTTTGTTGTCCTCTCGCCTTCTTCTGTGTGTGCGTGTGTGTGTGTGCATGCATGTGTGTGCCTGCGAGTGTGTATTATATATAATTTTTTTGAGATGCTTGTGCTACATATACAAACCACTTTACCCTTATATACTTCTTTGTGTATTTCCTAAGTTCAAGAACCTTCTACAACCACAGTATAGTTATCAAAATCAGACAACAGTTATATAATGTTATGTAATCTAGAGACTGTTCAAACTTCACCAACTATCCTATTGATGTCCTTCATGTCAAAAGAAAAGTGTTTTACCTCTGTATGTTGATTTTTTTCCCTCTTAAAATGTGTATCATACAGATCATTCTAGGTAAGCAATTACAGATTTAACTCATTACTTCTCATGGCAGCACATATTTTCTTTTAAAGATTATAAATAAAAATTCTAGAAGTCTTCTATTTCATCTTTTGTAATGAATAATATGCCTCTTTTAGATCCATTAAATAAACCTTTTCAAGATCAAAATGTAGTATCTTTTGAATTTTTATTCTTGTTTTGTTTTTTCACATGCAAGTGAAATATTTCTTTAATAACTAGCCTTTTCACCAGTGATCATATGATCATAATGGTGCTTAAAGGGTCATTTTTCCCGGCCTGGCCTTTATCTCTTTCTTGAGGATCCTTTTTGGCAAGATAAAGCAAGGAGACAGTGTAGCTTAATGTCATGACTGACACAGGCTCTGGAGTCAGACCTAGAGTCAGATCCCAAGTGTGCACTTCACTGGCTGTGTGACCTTGTGCAAGATGCTTACCTTCTCTGGCTTTGGTGTCTTTTCTGTAAAATGGAGATAATATCTACTTCAGGGTTTGTTGTGAAGGTTAAATGAGCTAAAATGTACAAAATGCTTAGCATAGTACCTTGTACTTAATAGTGGTACAGTAAATACTACTCGTGTGAACACTTTTCAACAGCTTTCCCCACCCCAAGAATCCATGCTAATAATTACAAGGTTAGTTTGCATATATACCACATATATTCCAGAAAATAAGACAAGCCTTCTCCCCAACCTCAAAATTACCCCCTTAAAAAAGAGAATACCTTCTAAACAAACTTTTCTCATGTTACAGAGATTTTCTTTTTCTTTATTTTGGAAAACATGGCATTGTTTGAAATGACCTGAAATGACCTCAGTTAGGGCTAGTTTTGAATACTGGGAGAAGTTATTTGATGACATCAGTAAAACAGCAACAAAGAAGAAAGACATTGAATGCAGATTTAGTAAGTACATAAGTTTAGCAAAAGAGCAGGGTCCAGAGAGGACTCGTGGGAAAGAAGGTGGAAATGGGGACATGGGCTAGGAAGCATCTCGGGCAGGTGTGTGGGCTTCCCAGGGGACAGTCTCTGTCCCATTTGCTCTGGCCACAGCATCTGAGTGCTGGTGTTTGGAGCTTTAAAACTAAGGGAGCAAATAATATTATAAGTATACAAGAATGGAAAGACTTGATGTCTCTCTGACAGCCTTATAATCGCTTTTTTTGGTAACTTCTTGAGAGCCACCATCATTAAAAGGTGCTGTCACTTAGTGGTTCTTGACTGATTTAAAATTGTCAAATGACCAAGTGTCTTGCTAAAATGGGAGGTCCAAGTTGTAAGAACTTTTTGTGTTCTTCATACTAACTTCATCCTCGTAGGGCAGCAAACTGGATATTGAGTGCTACAGGTGTGTATGAATTAAGTGAGATTCTGGGAGACAGTCACTGGGACTGATATAATGGGTTCACATTGTCATCAGGGCTGCCTGGAGGAGGCAAGCTTTGTGAATTTTCATATATTTGAGAAGTCACAAGCTGTGCTGCCTTCAAGGAGGCAGTGGTAATTGGCAAGGTGTACAGGGCTCCCCCTGAAGGACAGAGCAGTTTAACAAGTCAACCCAGCACTGTGTTAACCTGGCTTGCTGTCATGTTTTTCAGTAACTATGGACCCAAACATGTTGAAAAGTGATGTCTTCGTTGACTTTTTAAAACTGGTACAGATGGTAAGCTTGCTCTTCTTTACTAAGGTTATTATTTCTTTGCAGAACATGTCTCTTAAACACGTGTGCACTGCATCTCCAGCCATCAGCCCCACAGAGCCTGGGCTTGGGTAAAAGACATTCACTTGGAGTACCTGGGAGGGTGGTTCCTGTTTTGTTCTTTCAGAGGATTGGATAGATTCTAGAATGGAAAATTAAGTGTGTCATTTGACCTTTAGCCCATTTTACCTAAGCAGGTACCTTTTCTCTGAAGCTTAAGCATTGTACATCTCAAACCTGGGTAAAAGAAAACCTTTTATCATTTAGGGCCCCTGTGACAGTTCTGGGACCTGACTTCTATAGTTAGAATTTCCATGTGTGCCATGGTGGAGACATCAAGGCAGCAGTAATAGCCATGGCAACTATTACTTGTGCAGTCTCTGCTCCTAACTTTGTTGTAAATGGATATTGGGGAAAACAGTCTGAATGGGGATGACCTAAAGCAATTCCCTTTCCTCTGTTCTGTTGGTCTGAAGAACCACTGGCCACTTGCCCTGGTGAGGCTGGCACTTTACCAAGTACCTTTGTTTAGCACATCACTCATTCTAGGTGTACGTATGGGGGCATTTTTGCCCGCATGTATGTTCTTGACTGAATGGAAAAGCTCCAAAAAGATTGAAGTTGTACAATAATATGAAATTATTGAATTGGATCCCTAGCTAGGGAGGAATGATAACTTGATCAGATGTATTAAAAATGGCAGTTAATTTCATTTATTCAGTGGTTCAACTATGTTGGTATCCTCTCAGGTCCATGCAACCTGAGAAATGATCCTAGAGCCCCCCAATTGTGTAGTTGTTGATATTTTCACATATATTTGGTGGCTTAAAAAAATATGTTCTTTCCTTTTCTTTGAAACGTTTGTTGTTGAGTTGGTGATGGTGGTAAACACCCCCAAAGGGTATATGATAAAAGGAACTTCTGCTCCCACTGCAGATGCCTGGGTCCTCCTCACAGACAACTGTTTACAGTATGTGTTTCTCCTACAAGTTTCTGTGAATATATAAGCATTCATATGTTTTACCCATAAGCAAACCACCCAAGGTTTTTAGAACCTTGTTTTTTAAAATCTACATCTGGCAAATCCTTGTTAGCACACAGGGGTCCATTCGGCCTTGTTTCTGTCATTCTGTGTGTGTGTGCATTATAGTTTCTGCTTCCAGGGCTTTTTAAAAATTGTTCACGAGGTAGCAGTGTTTTGGAGCTCTGCTTTGAGTTTCTTTTTTTTTTTTAATGATAATTTGGGAGCTTTCCTCTGATTGAGTTGTCTGAGTATTTTTCCCTTTATAACTGCACAAACGCATTCCCCCCAGCTGTGCCTGCTAGTTTCTTCTTGCTTCTTCAGATGAGATTTTCACTGTTGTAATGGCTTTATTTTTTTCCTCTTCCCTTTCTTCCATGAACTTTGCCAGCTTACTGTGATATCCTTTGTTGTCTTCTTTCTGGAGGCCTTCCTCTGATCTTTGAGGTCTTAGTTGAGAGAAGCCATATTTTAAATAATACATCATCAATGTATTGTGATGACATCATTTTTCAGGTATATGTTTTTCAACCTTAGTTGCTCTCATTTGTCTAAGTCCTTGCCAGCTCTTCTCAGGCAATTATATAATAGCTTTGAAAGGGGCTGGGCTTGGTGAGTCAGCTTTTTGCTGACAGTAGTGTTGGGGAGAAGGGGGGTTGAGCGATTCGAATCTGCTTGTTAGACTTCTGGATTGCGCCTCTTGCTTCTGGGCGCTGTCTCACTAACACTGCACTAAGGCCTGAGCAGGGAATCTAGCAGTGACGCGGTAGTGATGCTGAAAACCAGTCTCTCATGTTGAGATCTAGCATGTTTAGACTTTCCTATGACTAAGCATCCTCTGGACTGGCTTAGCAGTTAAGGGCTCAGGTTTGGGAATGCGATGGCCCAGGTTCAAATTCTGGCTGCTCTCCTTCCAATTTGTGTGGTTTGGGGCAGTATGCTTAGCCTCTTTGTACTTCAGTCTCCCCATCTGTACAAGGGGTGGAGAGTTCCTGTCTCATAGGGTTCTTTTGAGGATGAAGTGGGTCAGTACTCCTAAAGCACTGAAATGTCACCTGGCAAACGTTAACATTGATGAAGTCCTCACTACCATTATCAAGGCCAGTCTCTTTTTCTCTCCCCAGCCATGCTGAGATTGCTTTCAGCAAAGATGGAGTGTCTGTGCATGTCCAGCCCCCCTGCCATTAGGTCATGTCAGATGGGCCCAGAGCTGTGCTCCCAGACTCGCTGAGGCCCTTGTGACGACCTGCTTTAAGGCAGCTCGGCCCTACCTGACTCCTATGCACCCTGGTACCTCTGCTTCCTTCCCCGCTGGCCAGGTCTTACATGCACTGCACTTGGCAGCCCCTCTGAAAACCCGGTGGTTTAAGCTTGGTGCCATCTGCAACTGCTTCAGAGATGATTTTCCTTCCAGTTGCTTTCTGTTTGCCTCTCAAAGGAGAACAGGACAGAGGTAACTTAATTCCTAAAATTGTTTACAAGGGAGGTTTACATTATGATTTTGAAAAGGAAATTCAGTATAAGTCAGGAAGGTTGTTCTATGCTCATTGTGCCCCTCCCTGCTTTCTGTGGTCCTTGATTGTCCATACATTGAACAAAGAGGTATCAAATGGCTGCTGTGAGGCAGGCACCCCCCAGCTCATGGACTTTGGGCAAAACTTCCCAAATAAATAAGCTACCCCTAAGTTCCCAGGTGCACAAAAGCCACTCTAGATACCTTCTCAGTCTTCTTTTTCTCGAACATGTTGTTCACACGAGGCTGTAGAACATTGTTGGTGAGACAGAAAAGTCACTGGGCAGATCACTGAATGTAATCCATGGTTATTGCCGGGGAATCACCACCTCGCAGGGCTGGCTCATGCCCAGCAAGTAGAAGAACAGCCTCCAGTCTCTGGGCAAGTCACACAACCTTAGAAATGTGAATATGTCCAGCCTTGCAGAAGCCCTTCTGAGGAAAGCCTTTATCACAGATGGCCAAGGCAAGCTGCAAAAATAAGAGGGGTTTGCCTCTACCGGGGCATTTAGTCTGGGTCCGGCCAGTGCTTTGTATGCGGTATCTCATCATCCCTCACAACTTGTTGAGGGAGGTGCCATTAGCATCCCTCTCCCAGGTTAAGTACCTTGTACAAGGACAAGTTGTTCGCATGTTACTTACATATCTTGTAAGTGGAAGAGCTGGGATCCAAACCCAAGGAGCCAGGAACCAGAGCCTCTGGCTCTGATGTCAGGAGGCATTTCTAGAGTGGTGGTAGCCCCTCCGGCCCTGCCCCACACGAGTCCCGTTTGCTTTGTGTGCCTAGCTGCCCTTGACTTACTTGGCTCTGTGCTTTTGCCCTGAGATGGCCTTTCAGACAAAAGGACTTTGAAAAGGCAAAACCAAAGTCTTTGAACTAAAGACCTTTTGATGTGCCTGGTTCTTATACTGTAGTGTTCTTAAGCCTTGTGTGAACAACATGCTTGAGGAAAAGACAAGACTGAGAAAGTATTTGGAGTGGCTTTTGTGTGCCTGGGAAGTTAGGGGTAACTTACTTATTTGGGGAGTTTTGCCCATCGTGGCTATGTTTGTGGAGTCTGGAAAGTGACTATTTCCCTATTTCCTCTTAAGAATGTTCCCCTTGTAGGCAAGTGGTTAGGGCCCATTATTAAGTGTGATGGAAATTTAGAGCTTGGCAAAACCAAGGATGGATTTTGTTGGATAAGAAACCTCAGGAATACACACTATGACTATCGGACATTCTTCTGCCTCAGAGCAGACTATCAATAAAGCACACTGATTTTCCTTGGGAAATTAAAGAATTTCTCAGGTTGTTAAATTCAATTTGAAAAGAATTATCACATGTTTAAAATGTGTTAAGGCATCCCATGGTATTGGAGGATTTCAGTGTTTCTTAAAAATGAATGCATTCAATTTTCTAGAGAGAATTGAGTGTTTTGATTCCTGATCCACCCTAGATCAAGAGGACAGCTTAGTTAAGGTTTTGTTTTTCTATAGTTCAAATCTACCAAGTTGGCTTTTTCCCTCTAATTGTGTTTTTTTATTGATTTTACATTTTATTATTTGTGTACATTCTAGTAAAATTGAAATATCACAAATAGAGCCAAATTGCTCCTTGATCACCACTCCCAACCTAGAATGTTTTACCTGTTGTGCACTGGCTACTACCTCATAATATAAAGGTTTTCTGATACCATTATTTCTCCTCTTTACCATATCACTCTAAAAATGTTTATTTTTTATCAAAGCAAAATGTACTCTTAGTTTTGAAAGTAGAATAGTGCTAAAAAAGGGTTATCATATAACCATCTCCTGCTCCACAGAGGCAATGGCTTTCCAATCTCTAGTTTTTTCTTCAGATATTTAAAAATCTGCATGACAATGATATACATCTCTAACTTTCTCTTGTTCTTCAATTTGTAGACATTATCCACTGACTGTCTTTTACAGGAGATGAGGATTTCAACTTTCTTGTATCACCTTCCATCGCCAACTTCTCCCTAATCTTGTATGTCACAATTAAAATGAAATCTTTAGTATTTTGATCATTATAAAATATAAATATTTCTTACTGCTGAACAAGTATTTATGATTGCCTTTAGTTTCTTGAGCAGTTTTGTTTTTCCTGGAGTTAAAATGGCATAATTTAAAAGCGAATAAATATGCTTAGTTGTCTTTAAACAGAGGACCCTTTCCAGGCGTATAGCAGTGCTGAAAAAGGAATTCTCCCCATGGTCAAACCAGTGAGGTTGTTTCCTTAGCGGTGATCTACCCAGAGTCTGTCTTTGTGTTGTTTAAGTTGAAGGAGACTCGAGTAAGTTTACCTCTGCTGGGAAGGAGCCAGTAGAGAAGGAGAGCTTAAGATAGGAGAGGGAAGGGTGGGCCTTGATAGTCAGTGGCACCGAGTACCCGAGGAAGGAGGACTGGGCACAAACTGGCATCCAACGGAGGAAGGCTGCCTCTTAAAGTGAATGTGAAAGAGAAAGATTGGGTGAGGCTACAGGTATTGGCCTAGGTTTATGAGTAGAAGTGGAGAAAGTCCCCTCTTGATGCTTCTTCTGTGTCTTGTAGGAGGTGAGTTCAGCTGTGGGGATGAGGCAGGGTAGGTCGATATGGTTAGAGTCTTGGGGAAAGTGGGCGAAGTTGAAATAGATTGTGAGTCAGAAACCCTTTGGCTGGAGGGAAGGAGGGAGATCGAGGGCCAGTTGCCAACCAACGTGTCTCATCCCAACCAAGGGCAGAGTTGGGTTGTCCTCAAACCTTCTGCCTCCCTTGATGTGGAGGTTACCCACTGAGAGCAGGTTACCTTAACTGAAACCAGTGCTGGCAGTAGAGATGGAAAGAGGATGGAGTCAAGAGGTAGTTTGAGATGTGAAATATACAGGAATTGATGAGATAGGAATGTTGAAAACATCTTCTGAATCTTAACTCCTTTATTCTTTATCTGGTGCCACAAATTAAAACAAAGATATATAACTTCCTGATTCCTGCTACTAACAACAATAAAGCTGCCATCTGAGTGTTTGTAATGAGTGTCTTTCCAAGCCCCATATATGTTGCCTCCTTGAATCCTCACCACAGCCCAGTGAGGTGGGCACTGTGACCATCCTTACAGTAGAGCTGAAGGAATGAGGTACACAGAGGGAAAGTACCCTCTCCTGGATTCCACGAGGTCATATACAGTGAGGAGGAAGGTAGGCTTAGATCCCACGCATCTCTTCTGTGCTTTACGTGCCGATTACGGCAACCAACCTCTCTCTAGTCTCCCATCCTCCAGTCAGTGTTCAAGGCCATTTTCACCATGCTGCCAGACAAATCTACAGAGTTTTATGACTGTTCCCATGCTTCTGTTTCCCTGACCCAGAACCACCATGGCTGCCTTTTGCCCTTTTAATAAAACCCTCAAGTGTCTTGATTTCAGGGCCATCTATAATCTGACTCAGTCTACCAATCCAATCTGCTTCCTCACTTTTCTTTTGCAGAAGAACTTAATAAAGGAACGTATTCATATCATTTTAATTGTTTATGTAATTTAGGTATCTTACTGCTCTGCAGTATGGTTTGAGTTGGGAGTTGCATGGAGGTAACATAAATTAATGCTAGGCTTTCCTTTAGAATCTTATCAAAAAGCAATGACATTTTTTTCCATTCATTTAGAGAGTTTTTCCCCTGAGGTAAGAGATGTTTGTGATTACAGGCCAAAAACCTTTAAGAATCCAAGCCCTAGGCAAAGTTGTATGTAGCAGGGACTATGTGCAACAGTCGTTCTGGGGAAGGCCTTACCTCTGATGGTCGGTATCTCAGCTCAGGATGGGTACTTGGGGGTCTTGCTGTGGTTCACCATCAGATGTCAGGTATCATGACTGCAGGGGAACCTGAGAAATCTTCCAAAACTCCCCTGGAAAGGTAGAAATGAAGGAACTGTGGCCTGATGTTGTGCAGGGAGCTCAGGGCTGTGCTATGGATGAGGGAAACCAGTGTCCCTGACATTCTGTAGAAGGGCTGGGAGTGATTCTCACAAGGTGTTGGGAAGTGAATTGTTGCAGCACCGGATGGCCTGGGAGGGAAACCTGGTAGGTGGCTCAGTATTAGCTGCTTCAGAGGTCAGTTCTGACAGGGAGAAGTCACAGGATTGTTTGACAGGTAACAAACACAGTGATCATTAAGTACCAAATTCACATCATGCAGACAGAAACCTGTTGTATGTGGAAGGAGGCAGCATGCCATGTACCTTATTTTGTTATTGTGGTAACATGTGGCCTTTGAACTTATCCAAACTTGGACACATTTAAGAGTGACAGAGTGCTATAATTATTACACTTGTATCAGATGCTTGGGCTGCTATAACAAAATACAGAGTGGTTTAAACAGCAAACATTCCTAGAACTGTGGGAAATAAATTTCTTTTTTGTGCATGCAAGGAGAGAAAGGAAGCTCTCTGGTGTCTCTGCTTAGAAGAGCACTAATCCTATCATGAGGGACATGACCCCATCTCACCCCATCATCTTCCAAATGCCCAGTCTCCATATACCATCACACTGGACATTATGGCCTCAACATAGGAATCTGGGGGGACCCAAATATCCAGTCTATAACAATGCCAGACAACATGCTCATTCTGGAACCTTTCTGGACCAACCAGGAAATATGTCTACCCTATTTAGAGCCCAAGCCCAAGAGTCATAAAGAGCTAGCCACGAATCCTGCCTCTGCCACTATCTAGCAGTGTGTCCTTAGGCAAGTTATTTAAACTTTGTGAACTTTTACTTCACCTGAGAAAGGGGAATTAATAAGTATACATATGCCTTACAGAATTGTTAGGGGAATTGAGTTACTTTATGTGAAGTAGTTAGCACAGAGCACAATTATCAGTACCATGATCTAACAGTTTATTTATATGTCATAAATACAGATATTTATTCATAAATGCTATGCTATATATACATGTGGCCTATTTATGAAGATATAATACATTCATAAACATATGTTGTTTTTTTGAACAAACCTTTTGAATTTGGAAAACAGAAGATTTTTCCTCTTCGAAAGCACTAAAGTTCAGAAGCACAGACACTTAGTAGTTCTAAGTATGTGGAGTGGATGGTTGGGGTGTTAACATGAAAAGTCAAAGCTTGCCCTTTGATAACAAAATTAGGAAGTATAAGCCTGTCACTAATGTGACCAGCCTTTGAGCTAACTGGGCGAGGTGATTGAGTCATTGGATCCCCGAGGTTCCCTGCAAGGCCTGATGCCTAATCTCATGTCTGTGGATGTTGGGGTTGGGGGTCAGGAGGACTAAGGAAAGTGGACGCATTGTCTGCTGAGGAGAAATGGTCTCACCTGGTCAGCTTACCTGACTCCCTGCTCTGTGATTTCCGGACCATCTTCTGGTTGGTCATTTGGATCTTCTTTCCCCAGAGTCTGACCAGGGCTGAATGCAAATTTTCTAGTCCCTAAAAGGAGATTATTCCCACCTACTCTGTATTTCTATTTAGGAGGCTGAGATCACAGAAGGTGCTTTGAGTGGCTCTTTTCTCAGTTCTCCCTAGGATGACACGTAACCAGTGCCATGCTAAATGCCCAGGAGAGACGAGGACTCTGCATGCAGTGGATGTATTGGGACATTAGGGTTTTGTCCTGTTGTAGAATCTGTAATGAGAAAGGCTGTGGCTTGAATCGCCTCCCAGAGATAAGGCAGCTCTGTGGCCTGCAGGATCCTGTTTTGGGGGTGCTTAACATAGCTTACCCCCTAATCCTGCCACTAGCCATGTCTCCTCCTGCGGTCCTTTTCTCGATGATACCTGAGCACCAATCTCAGCTTCATGCTTCTCTAAACTGTGAAGGCCTTCCAGTGCCTCTAGCATGTCCTTGACTTTCTAGAACACTCCATCCAAGCACTTCACAGGTCCCCAGGTTTGCAGTTGCTTGCAGTGCACACATGTCACCTTGCAGAATGCATAAGCACAGGCAAGGCTGTGTTGAGCTGGGGGTGTCGGCCCTTAGCTGCCCACTTACCAGATAGCAACTTCTTCATTCAGGCCTCATAGTTTGCACACTTTGGATTTTTGCTGTAGCAGAGTCATAAATTACTGCATATTATGGGCTTTTAGGGATGCCTGGAAATATTCAAAATGACAGTTAAAATCTAAGATGATCAAGGGTCATGTAGATGATTTTATCAAAAGCATTTTTCCTAAAATGGATGCCTTGTTGTTTATTTGGAAATTATTCAAGCTGCATGTCCCTGCTTTGCCTCAGCCCCTCCTTACCCCCACCCCACCCCTGAAATCTCATCTCCCAAATCTCTGCCCTCAGCTCCCTTGTGCCTCTGAGTTCTGTGGCCTGCAAGGGACCGGGGAGAGGCAGCCGCTGACTGCTCCCCCTTCAGTGTGCCCCCCTGCTGGGTGCTGCTGGGGCTACTTACCGTGCTTTCCTTTTGCTTACAGGATACATTTAGTGTCACCACCAAGAGAGCCTCTCTGGATGTGTATCTGCCTGATGGAAGAAATATTCAAGTTGAAATTCTAACCTCAGACACTGCCGAAAGAGTCCTAGAGGTAAACTGTGTCTCGACTTCAGCTGCAGGACTGACTTTGGGAATCATTCTGTTTGAAGGCAGGGACTAGGATACCATTATCTTCTGGAAGCTTCCTGCCTGTCACCTTTTTCTAGATGACTTATTTATAGAGATGATGGGGTTTTCTGGGAGACTGACTGAGGAATCTCAGCTCCAGCCAGTCTTCAGCACCTCTTTGGTTCTGCTGTTCCCGCAGCACCCTTTCCAGAGATTTCTTAGGTCCTTCCTAAGGCTGCTGTCAGTTCTCTGGAAGTCAGCCAGCAATGTGCCCTGGAAATATGCAAAGCGCATTTTTATGGAATGCCCCAGGATGGGAGCAGGAAGGCGGGTGGGGCCCAGATGAGTCTGAAACAGGCTGTCCCTGGTGAACTGGTAACAGGTTCTGGCAGAGTCGATGGAGATTCCTCGAAGGCTGAGGGAGTTTTTCCTCCTCCCCCATTGGGAAAATCCCTGAAGCCAGCACCGCAGGAAGCCGGGGTCTGGGGCTGGACTGCCAGACCTGAGCTGTGGTCAGTTCTCCAGGGACTCCAAGGACGGGACCCAGAAAACGTCCTCCCCTTCTTCAGGTGGGGCCGTTTTCAGCTCTGCCTCCAGGCCGGGCTGCGGAGGGGGCACTGTCTTTTCATACCCACGCACTGCTCCCAGACGCTTTTCCTTTGGAGGGTTTTAGTTTCAGTCCTCCAGAGACACATGCAAGGGAGAATATAAATGTATGAACAGAGGATGTTGGAAAGTTTCTAGGACCTTTCCAAGGGCAGAAAGTTCTTGTGCTGGGGTCATGGTATCTGAAGCCCTGGGAGCTGGAACAGAAGCACTCCCTGTTGGGCTCCCCGCTCTCCAGCCTGCCTTTACCTGAGGTCTTGTCGGTCTTCCCCTCTGCATGGCCCTTCTTTCTAGCCTACATTCAAGCCCGCCTTTGCCCTCCTAGCCTCAGAAGAGCAGTCTGCGTCCCCAGATTGAGAGACAGCCCTTCCCTAGATGTTGGCTTTGTCCAAGAATGATTATTTTGGACCTTTATTCCTACTAAAGTTACCACACACAACCTTTTCTTGGCTCCTGTGTTGCTGACCTGTTTGAATGACATCAGCAGCCACTTGGGTGCTGAGGTCAGGCCTGGAGAAGTTACCCCCACCCGGCTCCTCTTCTCTCAGCCCTGAATCCCACTGACACTGTATCCCAAAGCTCTTTCCTATTCATCCCCTCTCCCCAGTTCCTCCTGTCCATCCTCACGCCCCTAGTCTGAGCCCTCATTTTTTCTCAGCTAGATTCCTATAGCAGCCCCAGAACTCAACTCCCTGCTTCCAGTTTTGCTAATCTTCTGTACTGGTTTCCAGATTGATCCTTCTAAAAAGCAACAAAGGGCCTTAATGCTTAATGCTTGAGGGAATTCATACCAAAAAAAATAAAAAGCCCCAAAGCACAAAACTAACAAAAACGTAGTTCCTTAAATTGCCCTCCTGGGACCTACAAAGCAGGTGACAGACACATAAGTGAAGGAGAAGAAGGACAGTAATGAGTGAGTGTGGGGACCACAACTCAGATACCTCTGGGGCCTGGCAGCTAGCTGAGGGTGCGGCTGTAGGATGTAAGAGCATTTGGGAATGGTTGGGCCTCTGGAGAACTGGAGAACACCTGCCCTGCCCCAGGACATCATTACCGACGTGTTTCTCACACACGCACTCACTGGCCCACCCAGGCAGTTGTTGGCTGCTGGTAGGAGTCTGGGGTCTCTTCATCTGCTGGGACAAGGACAAGCCTGGATTCAGATGATAGCTCTGCCATATTGTAGCTGTGAGTGTGGGTAAGTTACTTAACCTTTCGAGACAATATCTGAGTAATTACAGAAGTAGCTCATGTTTTATCAGTAGTGGCGGTTATGGTGATTTCTCATTGTTTTTTTTGGTACTGGAAGGGGAGTGCTGGTAAGTATTGAGTAGGGCAGTAAGTTAAAGATTTCATAATACCATCTGTTTTGTTGAGTTTCCCTGGTAACTAATAAATAGTTCAGTGTAATGAGGTACATTTGTGATCTCAGAAAAATGTACTTTCCCTCTTCCAATTGCATGGGTTTGTGAGAAATTAAAACCCAGGACACTGACATCATTAACATCAGGTAAATTTACCTAGAGAATCTACTCCTGAAGTGTTGTTTTCTGTGAAAGGTAAAGTGAGTGTTTGCCAGGCAGAGATGAGAATTAGGGACCAGGAAATTCTCTAGTTTGCATAAAAATGTCATTTAGATTTTGTAATTAAAACTCGTTGTTTATACCCCCTCAGGCTTGCTTGTCACCAAACTCACTTTGTTTCTCCTGTTTATCTCACCTCTATCCTTCTGGGCTCTTTAAGGATCAGCTACAAGCTAAAATCTCTTTGCCATTATTTATGCATTTGTAGTGATATAGTTTTATTGGTGGTATTTGTGTTTTGAAACATCATTTTTAACCTGTACTATGAAGGAAATTTCATTGTGTCTCTTTTTGTTGACCTTACTCCTCTCAAAAGGTGCTTGTATGTGTGTCTTTATAAATTATAAAATGCTTCTTCATCTTCCTTTTCCCATGCCTGAAGGACTCAGAGCAGACAGAAATCAAATTTGAGTGGCCATGAGTCATGTTTCTCCAGGAAAATGTGTCTTTACAATCTGTACCTACCAACACACACTCAGCTCTACACACCGAGGGACCTGTGTTTGGTTGTACCTACCAACACACACTCAGCTCTACACACCAAAGGGCAAAGGGAGGAGGAATAAGGTAGAAAGACAGAGAGTGGGGGGAAACATTGAGTAAAAGTTGTGAAAGTTCCCAGACTCTTCTTCATTTTTAAAGCTTTACTCAGGGCACCCACTCATACCATCCACCTAATGAGACCATCTGATGAGGTAATTTACAGATCTCTGACAAGGAAAGTACCCCTTTGAGCCTGTATTTGTGCAGCTGTCACTTTGACAACTTGGAGCCATGGTTAAAGTGTCAGCTCATGCACAGTGCCTTACAGACAAATCCAGGAGAGTTACAAAGGTGATCTAGGAATCCAGACGAGGCATGCAAAGCAGTCACTCAGGAGTCCAGTCTCAAAGAGGGGTGAGCTGGGTGGGTGGAGAGGGGAAGAATCTACAGTGGTTAGAAGTTCTTGCTAAGGGAAGATGAATGAATGTAAAATGTTACAAGGTTACAGCTTCATGACCCACTGGTGAAAACAAAGCCATTGGTGTTGAAATGAAAGCCATTTGATATAAACGTCAGAGAGGAATATAAAATGACAGCAGCCTGTGCCTGCAGACCTGAGGTTTCACTGAGCAAACACCGTAGTAAATTAGACTTGACCATAGTAGAATACGTCAGAAACAGGTCTGGGATATCAGAGGCAGACAGTAACTTGTGCAGTTTATATGCCAGCCAACTGGGGAAACTGTGTCTGATAATCCCACCCACAGGAAAGTAAATTGGTGAGTGGGTCCCAGGGGCAGTTATCATAGGACAGATGTGGGTGGAGAATGACTGCTGCCCTCCAGTGGGCAATAAAGACAGAAATGATCCCAGAGATGCCTCTGTATCTGAGGTGGGACAACCAGCCTGAGCTGAGGCCAATTCATGCCCATTGTGTTGGAACTGGATTTCACTTCCTTCAATCTCATTTGTTTTTATTTCTAAGTGTTTTTTTTTTTTGAGAGGGCATCTCTCATATTTATTGATCAAATGGTTGTTAACAACAATAAAATTCAATATAAGGGGGTCAATGCTCAATGTACAATCATTAATCCATCTCAAGTCTAATTCTCGTCAGTCTCCAATCTTCTGAAGCATAACGAACAAGTTCTTACATGGTGAACGAATTCTTACATAGTGAATAAATTCTTACATGGTGAACAGTACAAGGGCATTCATCACAGAAACTTTCGGTTTTGATCACGCATTATGACCTATAAACAATCAGGTCAAATATGAATATTCGTTTGATTTTTGTACTTGATTTATATGTTGATCCCACATTTCTCCTATTATTATTATTATTTTTATTTTTAATAAAATGCTGAAGTGGTAGGTAGATGCAAGATAAAGGTAGAAAACATAGTTTAGTGCTGTAAGAGGGCAAATGTAGATGATCAGATGATCAGGTGTGTGCCTATGGACTAAGTATTAATCCAGGCTAGACAAGGGCAGCAAGACATCCACGGATGCAGAAGATTTCTCTCAAAGCAGGGGGGGTGAGGTTCTGAGCCTCACCTCTGTTGATCCCCAAATTCTCACCTGATGGCCCCCCTGCGACTGTGCCTGTCTTAGGTTGTTCCTCCCTTGAGGAATCTTACCCGTCTTGGCTAACCAGTCATCTTCCGGGGCCATACAGGGAAATGTAAAGTTGGTCTAAGTGTTTTTTTTTAATGACTGTACCATTTATAGATTCATAAAAGATTTAATGTTCCCATTCCATTAAAGCAATTTTAATTGATGGCAGTTTTGCATTCTGCATGTCCCAGGAAGCATGATGGACCCTCCTAAGTTTTCCCCTTTTTACTTGTCTTTAATTAAAGGTGGTGTCACACAAAATTGGACTGTGTCGAGAGCTGTTGGGCTACTTTGGCCTGTTTCTCATTCAGTTTTGCCAGGAGAGCAAGCTTTCTGGTAAGGAGGGAAGGAATGCAAGGCAGCCAGGAGCCAGTGTAGACAAGTGTGGGCAGGCACTCAGCCCAGGAGACACAGGGTCACAGATGAGGGGCTGGTCACACCCCTGCTCGGGGATCTCCCCAGTGTGTGGTCCCTACTACTGTGGATCAAAAGTTTGGGGATGGGAGGTTGTATCTGTGTTCAGGATGAGTCAGGGACTAACAGCTCCAGAGAGGTAGCATGGACAGGAGCAAGGTCTTTCCAGCACTGCACTTCCTCCTGTGCTCTAGTCCCAGTCCTGATGTCCTTGTCACCCTTGCCTCTGGCTGCTAACCATCAGCCATGCCACAACCCCTTGTGAATGGAGTGCTAGATACCACACATCAGGATAGCCCATCACACCAGCATTTCACCATCATTTGTTAAGGAATATTTGCTACAAAATGTGGATGATTTAAATAAGTTCTTAGATTCTTAAAAAAATATGAGATAGTAAAAGAGGGCAGTACAATTCACATAGCTTTTTTTTCTACAGTACATTTCCAGATACTACAATGTTTTAAGCTGTGAAATGGTATTAGAATCTCAAAGTAGCTTACATATGTCCTCAAGAAGATGTGCAGAGGTGGTTCTGAGTTGGAAGTTTAGGGGTTTGTGTTGGCTTGGCCACTAGCATGTGTGGTGTGCCGGCTCGGCCACTAGGGTGTCTGGGGTGCTGGCTCAGCCGCTAGGATGTGTGGGGTGCTGGCGAAGGCACTAGGCCTCTCTGGGCCTCAGTTTCCTCATCTGCATCACAGTGTAAAATATTCCCTATTCAGTGCTGGTATTTTGTGAGGATCAAATGCTATTTATTTTTGAATGAACTTTAGAAAGTTAAAAGTTATGTGCAAATGGAAAGAATGTTATTGCGATCTTACTCTTTCCAATAGTAGTGCTTTATTTTCTCATTTTAAAGCCACTGTGTGTAACCTGTTTGTACTGCTCCCTTTCCCCTTTCTTTAGTCATGAAAAAATTGGTGGACTTTGAGCTCCCTTATGTTAGCCTTCGAAGTTCTGAAGTGGAAAACTGCAAGGTTGGCCTCAGGAAGTGGTGAGTGAGCATTCATTGTGTCGGCAGGTATTTGAGGACTTCTTACCATTGTCCGTCAGGACTTGTCAGTCTCACCATGTCGGCTCACAGGCCAAGAGCCAGAGAGAAACCAGGAGCTTGGGGAGCAGTGAAGAAGAGAGGGAGGAAATGAATCAAAATATTGGTCCTGGGCTCAAGTAAATATTTGAGGGATATTATCATGAGCATGGCAACCATGAGGGTAAAGCTTAAAAAACAGCCTGTTGGGGTGGGGATCGAAGCAGGTAATGATGAGGAACTGCTGGCAGTGGAGTTATGCTGGAATGGGTTACTGGTAATGGAAGGATCTCAGCAGCTCTGACTCATCTCTTGAACTGTGGTATTCCCTGAAGGCATAGGGCGGGCTCAGCCAACTTGCAGTGAATTTGACTCTGAGTATTCAGCCTTCCTAAAGGATTCTAACATAAATGCATATATACCAGGACTGGCCATATTCCAAAGTCAAAGGACACCTTGCAGAAAATAGTATCATTGACCCCAGAAGCAAGGGGCCTAATGGAGAGCAAACAGAGAATAACAAGAAGCAGGACACTCCCCCACCCCACACCCTACACACGTCCTGTAATCTGTAGTTCCCAGTGCTTATTACCATGGCTTTATGGGATTGCTTCTTTGGTTATTCTGTAGTTATTCTGTAATCTGAGCACAGAAGCTATAACAGAAGACATTTAGAAATCTAGGAATAGTAGTTAGCTTGACCTTATGATGCCTTGCTGGAGCTCCAATCTGTAGTTTTGAGTTTTGAAAGGCTATTTCCAGCAAGGCCAGAAGTTTGTATTACTGGTACTCCAAAATATTCTGAGAAGTTGTCAAAGTCTGTGGCACAGAACCCTGAGAAGGGGAAAAGGAAAAAGCTTTAGCAGTTCCAGGTAAGAGTTCATAGAGTAGCTGTTCTTCTAACAGCTGATTGTTTGAGTGGGTGGCTGAGCACAGTTGTTCCTGGGCTCAGAGTACATGAATCTAAGCCCCAGCACTCTCAGAGTTTAGCTGAGTAATGTTAGCCAAGTTATTCAAGCTTTCTAAGCCTTGGTTTCTTTTTCTGGAAAATGGAAATACTAATCATAGAGTCAGCCTCATGCAATTATTGTGACAGTTACATAAAGACATCCCATATGCTCAATAATTCCCTCCCACACAAGGGCCCCTGAGGTGCATGGGAAGAATAGCTAAATGGGTATAAGGAGTGCTTCAGTTGCTTCTCCCCATCCCCCAGCATGACGTTGATCCTCGAGGAACATTTTCATCCTTTCCCTAGTGTGCGACAGTCTCATCAGGCTATTGACTCTGCATTTCTGAGTACAGATCTACACAGTGATCCTTCTTACCTCTGCCTTCACACTGGTTCTAGACCAGCCAGAGTGCACCCTTTCCTGACTTTTTCTGTTAGTTCTTAGCATGCTACTATGCCTATACAGTAACAGTAATTTCAGCTCATCCCAGCAATTCTGGATTTGTTAGACAGACATGGAGCCTTAGCTCTTTGCAAGATCCAGAGGGCCACCTCTGAATAAAACCCAGCCCCTGGGCTCAGAGGTCTGCACACATGATGTCAAGATTAATTTGATCAGAACAGTGATGAAGGTAAATTCAGGGTGCTAAGGAAGCACAGGGGATGGGTTGCTCACTTAGGCATGGGGAGGAGGGCCAGAGGAGGGGCATGAGGATGAGGCTTGCTAGGAGAGGCAGGGAAGTCAGGGAAGGAGGTCGGCGAGGGGAATGGTCTGCCACAGTGAGGGAGAGGAGAGAAAACATGGTTGGAATGTAGAGTGTGGGAGGGGAGGGAGTAAGAGGTGGAGCTGGAAATGAAAGCTGGGTGTCCCATGAGGGGTCTTGGAGGCAAGCTGGATAAACGGTCGAATTCCTGGAAGTCCGAAAGGTTATTTGGGAAAGATCACTCCAGTTAGAATGTGTAGCCAGAGATTGAGGGAACAGGACTGAGGCAGAAAGCCTGATGAGGAGGTTCCTGGAGCAGCTCACGGCAAGAGAGGAGGGTTGGCCGGGATTCGGGCGGTGATACGGACATGGGGGTGGTCAGGTTAAATGTCCCAGGTACTGTGGATGGGGAAAGGCATGCGGGACTTGGTGTCCAAGCTTGGGGCTGAGTATGAACAGGATGTGGAACATTCCCCTAAAGCTTTATTTTTTGCATCTTTACTCTCAGAGCCCACCTGGCAAGAACTCAAAGTATAAAGGAAATAGGAACTGGAAGAGGTCGGGGGACAAACTGAAAGCTAGGCACGTAGAGAGGTGTGGCTTTGTTAGAAAAGGGTCTTGGTCAACGTGCAGAGGGCCACCCCTTCAGAGAGCACTTGCTCCCAGCTGTGCCCATTAGCCATGTCATGAACTAACTTGTGGCTCCTGAATTACACAGGTACATGGACCCATCCCTCGACTCCATGCTGATGGACTGCAGAACAGCTGTAGATTTGATCTATATGCAGGTGAGGGAACCCAAGAACACTGAGATGCCATATATTATAGGCCATTTGAGTTTGAAACCATTAGAAAAATTGTAATAGTTAAGAATTCTATTTACATATCTAGAATAGGCAAGTTCACAGAAGCAGAAAGTAGAACAGAGGTTACAAAGGCCTGGGGGAGAGAAGGAGTTACCGGCGCACCCAGAATGTTTACTAGGGATGATGGGAAAGGGTCAGGTATAGACAGTGATGATGGTTGCACAACATTGTGAATGTTTTTAGTGCCATTGAATTGTTTACTTAGAAATGGTTAAAATGATAAACGTTATTATATTTTACCACAGAATAAACAAGAATTTAAAAAGAAATAAAGCTCTGGGGGAAAACAAGAACTCTACCTCCATTTTAACAATCTCTCTGAAATTGCAGCTGACACACCATCATCTAGGTTCACGTACATGAACCCAGAAAGGATATCCCTGATAATTTAAAATCACATGTGGTCCCTAAATCTCACTTTAGCACACCCTTCTTTTACCCTGAGTCAGCAAGTAGCATACATGCACGTAAGGCCAGGTTCATGGACACATGACCTGTGAAACTGCACTGGGCCCTGTGCTCACAAGGGCCCCACACTTGTTTAATACTCTGCTGTCACCATCTTGGAATTCTCAATTTTTGAACAAGGGATCTTGCATTTTCATTGTGCATTAGACACTGCAAATTATGTAGTTGGTCCTGCCTACCCCTACCCCCCAGACCCCAGAGAAGTAAATTTAGAGTTTGGCCTCCTTCCCTTTCCCTGCCTCTGATGGAGCTTCTGCTGTGCAGATGCTGTCACCATGGTACACCTCCAGTTACCCCCCACCTCTGTTCCCCCTCCTGCTTCACCAGCTCCCCAACAGTGTTCACCCTCACCAAGTCAGCATCTTCAGAGGCCTGATGCTTTCTGAGGCCTGGCTTGACAATTCTGGGAGGAAGGTTTGAAACATTCTTTTAAGGATCCATGAGAATATCCCATAGTCTGTCCCCAGGCAGCAGGCAGAGTGGTGGGGCCCTCTCCCTGTTTCAAGCCCCCCAAGGCTCTCTGTCTCACTCAGATTCAACTCCAAATCTTGGCATACTTGCTTTATTTTCTTCTTAGCATTCCCATCATTTAGCATTATAAATGCTTTTGGAGTGGTTTCTTACGCAGCAATAACTAACTGAGACATAACTGTTCATCTTGATTTCCCTTTAGTTGAGCTGTGTGTATTGTTGATATATTACATGTGTTGAGCCTCATTGTCTTTCAGAATTACTTTGAAAAGTTCACACGGTGATTCTGAATTGAATGGGAGTTATCATTTATACAGAAAAACAAAGAGTGGTAGGGTTCTCACTTATATTAGTAGAGCAAATGTTCGTCTTTGACCACAGTTCCATATTTTCTTGCAAAGCAACAGCCAGGCACTTTATGTACCCTGAGAGAGGGAACTGTTCTGTTTTACACTGAGATGTATGGAAAAGGATGCCTAGGACAGGCTGAGTAGTGCAGCTGAAGGCAGGAGATGTCACCAAATGCCTCAGAAGAAAGGAAAAGCAATTACCAGCCAGGAAAGGTTGGCATGGCCAGTTCATGCACTGCACAGGACTGCCATGAGGCACTGTGTCATAATTTAATTGGCAGTGATTTTGCTTAGTGTCACACAAAAGTGGCTCCTCCAATGCATTTCTTTCTTCTTTTTTAAAAAACTTGAATGACATTAACAAAATGGAAGATTGCATATAAATGTATAAATTTCTGGATTTTCTCAAAAATATTGAGGCTTAATCAATTCTGAGCCTGCATTTCAGCAGGGCCACCATTGGCATGTATAGTGACTTAGTGAAAATTAGGCCTGCTTTTCCTCCAGGTGGGCCTACCCTCATGTCAGGGCCTGTGGCTTGGCAAGGGGAGCATGGGTAGATCATTAGCCTCATTAGTCCCCCAGTACCTCCTCTGCCAGTGCCCTTGTGCCGAGTCCAGCCTACTCGCATCTCTGGCACGCTTCAACCGGCTGGGGCTGCATGATTGACGCCTTGTTAAAGGGTGCTCTCCATTTCTCACTGCTGTACCCTCTCTGGAGGGTACTAGAATATGTGTGATTGAAGCTCCTGAAAACCATGGCTTATGTGATTTCACTCAACTTAAAAAAGTAGGTTCAACCTAATTCTCCATCAGCCAGTCTTCAGGAAACCATAAAACTGAGTAGAGACATATGTCTACAAACTTGACTCCCATTGTCTGGAGTGAGGTACTGTACATAATATACTTGAATGATGACTTGTGAACCTATAATCAGGATCAAATCTTTTCAAAGGTAGTGAGAAAAAACATGCACCTCTGATGGAGGATATTTAAATCTCTGTTTGAGAGTCCTGGGTCCCCTAGTGATGAATGATGTATCTCTGGTTTGCACCTACTGCCATAATTGCTGTTTATCTTCTTTATTTAGCCATGTTTTCTCTTTGATATCATTTTCCTGTGCTAATCATCCTTACAGTTATAGTCCCCTCTAACATCGAGTAGAATTCAGGAAAGAAAAGGGTTTTTAGTTCTTCATGTCTGTGTTGATTCCATTTTGGTATGATATATAGTTTCAGTTTTGAGAACAGCTGTGGACCAGGAGAAAGTCTTAGGGTGGGTAGCTGCCTACACATGAAGGATTTAGAGGCTTGGACAAGGGTAGGAGGGCTTGGTGTAGTGGTCAGACCTGGGTTTTAATCCCACTCATGCCACTTACTTGCTAGTTGTCTTGACAGTCATAACCTCTCTGGACCCCAGTTTACCCACCTATAAAATGAGGGTAATGTAACCACTCCACAGAAACATTTGAAAAAAGTCAATGGGAAAGCCTGTCTAAAACAGGTTCTCAACAAATATTAACTCTTCTCTCTAAACCCATCTGCTTCTCCCCAAACTGAACAGAAATGTCAAAAACTGCGTTTGGCTTTTCATTCTCCTCTTGGAGGTAATACATAACCTGCGAATATCACTGAGGGACGCAGCACAGACTTACCGTCAGACTAAGGTACAAATAAGTGCCTAATAATTGTCAAGGCATTATTGGGCCTTTTCTGGATGTGAGACATTGGATAAGATACACTGAGGTGAAGGATACAGTTTTCCCTTGAGGGATTAACATCCGACTGAGGACTGGTGGAAAACTCTTACAGCATAATAAATAAAAGCCACACAGGCTAATTGTGCCAATTTAAATTTACACAGAACTTGTTACCCCTAAACCTTGCCAGCCCTGAATATTACACGTTTTAGTCTTTGCCAAGTTGAGGTGCAATATATTGTTCTTAGATCATTTGAAGTTGAATATATATTTGTTATTTGGAATTTCTTTTTGCCAATTACTAACACATATCCTTTGTCCATTTCCCTTTTAGGGATGTTTATATTTTTTACTATTGCTTTATATAAACAATATTAACTCTTTACCACATGTCAGGTGGTCGTTTTCCTTGGTTTGTCATTTACTTCTTAGTTTTATTCTTGGTAGTTTTTATGTGCAAAAGTTTTATATTTTCATGTAGTTATATATTCCTTTGTAATGACATTTTGTCTTTGTAACTTAAAAATACATTCCCTACCTCAAGATCAGGTATTTATTATTTTCTTCTGGTTCTTTTCTTTCTTTTTTCTCATTGAAATCTTTGCTCCATCTGAGTTGGTTTGATTGGGTGGTGTGGGGCAAGAGCTGACTTTTAATTTCTTTCCCAAGTGCTGCCAGTTGTTCCCAAACTGTTGAACAGTCTCTTTCTACACCCACTAGTTTAAAAAGTAACCTTTATAATATGCTAACTCTCTCTATATATATGTATATCTCTACTTGGGGCTGTTTTTATAGCCTTTCATATATGAGTATGTTTTTGTCAGATTAATTCACATCTGCTAAGTCTGCTAATTTTATACCTTATGTTGTTTCTAGGCAATTCAAGACATTGAAAAAGAATGGGCCAAACCCACAGAGATGCAGAAGCAGAAATTAGAGGCTCTCCAGAAAGAAGACAACCAAACAAAGGTGAATCAAATACTGCATGAAGAAAACTCCCTTGGGAGGGAGTTAAAGAAACATACTGGAGTTGAGCTATTTCAATAATTTTTTAGTAACCTGTCAAGCATAGAAAATTGAGCTCTTTTTAAAAATGAGAATAGCTTTATTAATTTTTCTGATTATAAAATTAATACTTGTTGTTTAAAGATTCTAACAAAATACAGGCAATGTATTGTGAGTCTTTTGCCAAGTTAATACAGACTCTCAACATGACTTTTTATGACCAGAGAGTATTCTGTTTTATAATGATGTTATCTCTTTACTAACCAATTTCCCATTATTTGCAGTCAGGTAGTTTCCAGCTTTTGCTGCTGTAAGTCACTTTGGCAGCAAGCACCATGAGGTCCAGGACTATGTCCAAGTTATGCATGCCCTGTGGATTCCCAACAGTTGGCATGGTTCATGGCTGAAGGTCCCTGAACACTGCAGCCAACATCCTCTGACTTTGAGTACATGTTGTATTATTCCTTAGAAAATATTCCTAACCATCTATTTTTAAAGCTTCCGTAAAGTTGGCACCAAATTACACTCCCCTGTCCCCAAGCAATGTATATGAGTCTGACAGACAAGACATATTTTAACAGAAGAAATTGGCCTCTGGTTCATTGTGTTGACTTTTTTTCCCCTCTTTTTGCCAGTGTTCACCTCTACAGCATTGATTTTGGACAAGATGCAAATGAAATTTAGAGGACTCATTTATATTTAGGTTGATATAGAAAGTAATTCTTCAAAGGGTCAGATATCTGGAGACTCATTTTATCGATGGGCTGTAAGAAAAAAAAAAAAAGGAACTAAGAAAGGGAAGAGCGTACTGCCACAGTTTAGTATTTTCTTTCTCCCTGGTATTACACCAGAGTTTCATCATAAGAATTTTAGACTTCAGTTTCTCTATGTGTTTTACGTTTTGACAATTATAGTGTCTATTTTGATGGATGAAATACTGCTGTTATTTGATTGAGTGGTGTGGGGCAAGAGCTGACTTTTGGGTACAATTGTTGGGTACAATTACAAATTCTAAGTACATTCCTGCTCTATAAAGTCTTAATTCAATAGTTTAGTAATAATATTGTTTTTACTGTGTGCTGTGCTCTACCAAAATTTGTGGTTATGTTTTTTGCCACAAAACAAATTTTATTTTCTATGATGATCATTTTACCTGATTTTAACATACTGTCTGTAATGATGGTCTTTAAAAAACTTTACTTTGAGTACATAATTAGATTCAAATTAACTGATTTTCTCTTGAAACATCTAAAGATAATGATATAAAACCAGCATTATTTAAGTGTATGCGAAGCTTTTCCTTTGCTAATGGAGCCAGCATATTAACAACTATTGCTTTACTTGATAGACACATACAAAGAAAACTTGGAATTGAAAATGACTGAAATTAGTTCAGAGAAGCAGTCATTTGATCTAAATCAGAGATAGGTTAACTATGGCCTGTGGGCCACTGTTTTCATAAATAAAGTTTTATTGGTACACAGCCATGCTCATGCATTTATGTATTGTCTAAAGCTGCTTTTGTGGTAGAGGGGAGTAGTTGCAATTGAGGCCATATGCCTGCAGTATCGAAAATACTTACTATATGGATCTTTACAGAAAAGTTTGCCAACCCCTGATATAGATTAAAATATATGGACATACTTTCTGCAGTTATACATGTTAAATTATCTTTTTCAGGTGCAGTCTTAAAAAGAACTAATTTTCTTTTTTTTTTAAAGAACGGATTTTCAAGGAGATAATCCTTGTAGATTTCTGTCTTCTAGTTTTCATATAATTAGTAATATCACTACACCTCCTGTTGAAAGACAAACGCCAATGAAGATTTTGAGAGTTATTCATCACCAACTTTCTTCAGAAATGCAGCATAACTCTTAATTAAACACTTGCATCTTTTTTTTAGAGCATATCAGCCAAAAGTTCATTACAAAAAAATTTTAAATGTTTTACCAAGCAATAAAGCAAGCAATTAAAGATTCAAACCATGTAATAAATAATAAACTATTATAGCAAGTACATGAAACTACCTTATATGCTCTATGGCAAGATTACTCAGCCCCTGCCCAATCCCTGCACAGGTAGCATTTACTTAAAACCTGTCATTTCTGATGTTTCTCACTAACCCAGCAGGAGGCCCTGCAGCTTAATTAATGTGTGTGCTAAGTCGGGTGCCTAGGTCCAGCCCTGCGAGCTGGCAGAATATGTGGCTGGGGAGGGACAGCAACCTCAAATATCACTCCCACCTTGTACTAAGGGTCAGCGGTCCCTCATCACATATGCCTCAACATGTCTCACTTTATTAGAGAGCACTGTGTATAGTCCTTGAAGGTGAGAAAAAGTACCTTGCTTCAGAAAAGGATCATTAATGAGCCAGATTGTCTCTGGGTTCTTTCTGACCCAACCATGTGGAAAGTGAGGACTCCCTTCTCTGCACACATATCTCACCCACCATCAGGCAGGACCCTGGTGAAAGCTGGAAGAACAAGGGGAGGATCCCAAGCTGGTATCAGCTTTTTAAATGCAACTGTTTAATAACACTTTGTTAGAAAGTGAGAAGTCTTAGGTAGATGTTGGGACAGGAGTCTGGGACCACAGGTGTGAAGTGTAAGTATTCTCTGTTCTTAAATCACATCAGAAGCAGAGGGAAAAGCTAAACCTTAAAAGTCACATTAAGGTGTTCCCTTGATACTCTTGGGCTATCTGTAACTACTTAAAGAGCAGACTCACTCTTGCTCTCATTTCATTGCTTTTGGAAAAATCAGTTTTCTCACAGTTCATACCATGTAAAGAAGCCTATAAAAATTAACTATTTTCCTTCTACATTGACCTCAGCTTAGTTTTTTAAAAGATGGTGTTTTTAAATGTACACATTTTGCTTGTTTTACTATCACAATCTGCTGAGACAGAATCATATCTACTTATCCATTTGATTCACTCTATTCTTTTCTCTACTCATTATTCATTCATCAAATATTTTCATTCCCACTACTTACACCAAGCACTATGCCAGAAGCAGGGACACTATGTTGAATAAGGCAGAAATGGTCCCAAGCCCTAGAAGGACATATCAGAAACTTCCCCAGGTCTTATTGTCGGAGAGCACAAGGGGCATTGTCTTCATTCATGTTGTCCAGAAGAAAAAGTTGCTTTCACTCAATTCCACGTATTTTACTGGAATGGCAGTAGCTTCTGACATGAGGTCCCAACATCTACCTAAGACTTCTCACTTTCTAACAAAGTGTTATTAAACAGTTGCATTTAAAAACTGTCTTTTAATCTGCCTCAAGAGGTCTTTTGCTTCCTCCTGTTCCCCACCCCTGCCCTTGGAGCAGTATTTGGAGCTGTCCCAGGATGTACGGCACTATGGATATGTGCAGCTGGACCCTTGTGTCTGTGACTACCCGGAACCGGGATGTAGCGTTGTTCTTTCTGTTGGCAATCATGAGATCAACTGCTGCGTGACCCTGCCTGATAACCAGACCCAGGATGTCATTTTCCATATAAACAGAGTGAAGTGCTGGCAGGTCACTTTTCTTGTGAGTATCCTAGCATTGTGCCTTATCTATAATTTAAAGTCTCTATCTATGATTAAAAAATTCTGTTGTTTTTGGATGACAAAGTTGGCCCTATGGAGATAGATCTACTGTTTGAATCAGTACCTTCAGTGGACTGGCATCTAAGCCACGTTAAGTGGTAAAACCTATCTATTGTTGGCTACAACTTCTCCGCCTATGGCAGTAGAGATGCCAATCTTCCCACCTTTCAACAATAGGTTTCTCTACTGCTTGAAGGGTGGCTATAGCATAAATAGTAGCATATAGAAATAACAGCTACTATTTACTAAGCACTTAATATGTACTCAGTTCTAACAAGATCTCTACCCTTGAAAACTGGATGCTTACCAGCAGAGTTATTCTTAAAGATCCTTGACGTCATATTTATGTTGCCATCTTCTCCCAAGAGCAACCCTTATTTTTTAAATTGAGAAACAGTTGACATATAATATTATATTGATTTCAGGAGTACAACATAGTGATTTGACAACTATATACACTACAGAATGCTTACCACGTTAAGTGTAGTTCATGTCTGTCACCATAGAAAGACATTACAATACTACTGACCATATTCCTTATGCTGTACTTTTTATCTTCATGACTTATTTATTTTATAATTGGAATTCTATACCTCTTTATCCCCTTCAACCATTCCCTCCCTCCCTCCCCTATGGCAACCACCATTCTGTGGGAGAAACCCTGATGATCAAATTTATGAGTGCCTGCTTTCTGCAGGTACTGTGCTGGCGCTGCCACATCTATTGTTTGATTAAATTCTTGAAATAACTTAGAGAGCTAAGAGGGATTATCCTCTTTACTCAGGAAAAGAAAGTTAACTAGTAGAGGACAAACACTACTAGAGCAACCAGGACACACAGCTGCTAAATCCATGGAATCCATGAGGTTTTTTGCAGGCACAGTACTAGACCTTTCCTTGGCGTTTGATATCAACCATCTCTTCTTTCTCAAAATTCCTTCTCTTTCCACCTCTGTTTTTGTGAGCTGCTTCTCTCTCTGACCAATTCTGAAATGCTGGTTTTCCCCAGGGTTCCATTTCTATCTTTCCTCTATGTATTCTCTGAAATCAGTTACCCAGGTCCTTGTCAAAACATCCAGTATTTCCTAATGCCGTCTGGACATCTTCACCAGGTGCCTCATAGATACCTCAAAGTCAACCTTTCCCCAAACCAGACTAATCCTTTCTCCCTCATTCCCATCCTAGAGTTCTTCCTGTTCCCTACCTTGGTAAGCAGGACACCCACTACTACCTGCTAAATGCCAAACCAACCATGTTGACATTATCTTTGAAGTTTCCCTCTCTCTTACCCTGTGTGTTTACCTAGTGATAGAGACTTACCCATTCTGTGGCCTTGCTAACCCTCAGAACCCTCCCCTTCTCTCTGTCTTTACAGCGTGGTCTCAACATTTCATGCCTGGATGAATCCAACAACCTCCTAATCCTTCTCTCTGTCTCACTCTTTCTCCCTTGGGGTCAGAGAAAATACAGCGTATGAGTTCAGTCCTTTTAAACTTACTAGAACTTGTTTTGTAACCCAAAATCTGGTCTACTTTGATAAATGTTCTATGTACATGTATTTTGCCATTATTGGGTGGAATATTCTATAAATGTCAGTTACATCAAGCAGTTGATAGTGTTCAAATCACCTGTATCCTTGTACATTTTCTCTCTACTTGTTCTTTCAGTTGTTGAGAGAAGAACATTATAATCTTCAAATAGAATTGTGGATTTGCCAATTTCTGAGTTTTATTGTTTTTTTCCCTTGTGCCTTCTTTTGATTAATTATTTTATGCATTCCATTCATTGGCTTTTTTTTAGCTACATAATTTTTTTATTTATGGTTACTTTACAGTTTTTATACACATCTTTAACTTATCACAGTCTACTGTTAAATATTATACTGCTTCACAAAACCTCACAGTAGTGTACTTCTATTTTCCCCTTCTATCCTTTGTGATATCTGTTACCAGACTTTATTTTTACATATATATATAAGACTCATGCTACATTATAATTATTTTTACTTTAAACAATTATTGTTTAAACTTTTAATTTTGGTATAATTGTATATTCACATGCACTTGTAAGAAACAGTACAGAGATCTATGCACTCTCTACCCACTTTTTCTCAATTGTTACATTTTACAAAACTACTACAGTATCACCACCAGAATATTGGCATTTCACAGTCAAGAGTCAGAACATGTCCATCACCACAGAAACCTTCGTGTTGGCTTTTATAGCTACATCCACTTTCTCCTGCTCCTGACTCTCCTTAGCCACTTGCAACCACTAATATGTTTCCCATTTCTATAATTATGCCATTTTGGGAATATACGTGAAACTTTTAGAAATGGTGGATATATTTATTACATTGATTATGGTGATGGTTTCATGGATATATGCATATGTCCCAAGTCAGCAAATTGAACACATTAAATATGTGCAGTTTTTTGTATATCAATTTTACCTCAGTAAAATTGCTGAAACACACACCCAACAGGGTTATGTACTGATGAGTTGATGAAAATGTTGTGAACCAGAGGTTTGCAGGAACCTAACCCTGTATTTTCCCTGGGGCAATAATTCAGTCTTCAGTCATTAATGTTGACAGTGATGTAACAGAACATGATTACTCTGAGAATTGACTGTACTTAGAGGGTAAAAATTCATCTAGGTTGTTGTATATACCAATTGTTTGTTTTTATTGCTGAGCAATATTCCATGTTATAGAAAGCCCAAAATTTGTTAAACTATTCACCCAGTGAAAGATATCTGGTTGTTTCCAGCATTAGCTATTATTAAAGCACCTATAAATATTCATGAACAGGTTTTTGAGCACAAATCTTCATTTCTCTGGGATAAATGCCCAGGATTGCAATTGCCGGGTCATGTGGAAGTTGTATGTTTAGTTTTTTAAAGAGACGGCCAAACTGTTTTTGGGGGGGCTGTAGCAATCTTCATTTCCACCAGTGATGGTAGGAAAAATCCAGTTTCTCTGCATCCTCATCAGCATTTGGTGTTGTCACTGTTTTTTTATTTCAGTCATCCTGTTAAGTGTGTAATGGCATTTCATTGTGGTTTTAATTTGTGTTTCCCTCATGACTGATGATGTTGACCATCTTTTCATGTACTTAGCTGCCATCCATATATCTTCTTTGGTGAAATGTCATTTCATATCTTTTCCCATTTAGTAAGAATTTTTTTTTTTTTGCTGTTGAGTTTTGAGAGTACATGATATATTCTAGATACTTTTCCTTTGTTAGATATATGGTCTGCAGATATTTTCTCTCTGTAGTTTCTTATCTTTACAACAGGGTCTTTTGCACAGCAAAAGTTTTTAATTTTGATGAAGTCTAATTCATCAGTTTTTCCTCTTACAGATAGTGCTTTTAGTATCAAGTCTTTGCCAAACTCTAGTTCTTGAAGATTTTCTCTTAGGGTTTTTTTCCTAAAAGTTTTTCAGTTACAGGTTATACATTTAAGTCCATGATCCATTTTGAGTTAATTTTCATACAGAGTATGAGAAGTAGAACAAAGTTCCTTTCCTTTTTTGTCTATGGAAGCCCACCTGCTCCAGCACCATTTGTTGAAAAGGCTATCTTTCCTTGATTTAAGTGCTTTTGCACCTTCGATAAATATCAGTTGGCATATTTATTTAGATCTATTTCTGGGTTCTCCTGTTCCACTGATCTATGTGTCTATCCTTTCACCAATAACTCACAATCATTCTCTTCCTTTGTAATAGCTTTATCGAGGTATAATTCACATACCATACAATTCATCCATACAAAATGTACAATTCAGTGGCATTTAGTATATTTTTTAAATTAAAGTATCATAGATAGACAATCTTATGATGGTTTCAAATACACAACACAGTGGTTCAACATATGCATTTAGTATATTTACAGAGTTGTGCAACCATCACCACAATCAATTTCAGAATACTTCCATAGCCTCTAAAAGAAGCCCATACCCTTTAGCTGTCACCTCTGCATCCCTCCAATTTCCATGAACTTTAAGAAACCACTAATCTGCTGTCTCTGTAGAGTTGCCTCTTCTGAACATTTCATATTAATGTAATCATATGTGGTCTCTGTGACTGGCTTCTTTTACTTAGTATAATGTTTCCAAAGTTCACCCTTATTATAGCAGGTATCTGTACCCTATTCCTTTTTATGGCCAAATAATGCTCCATTGTATGGATATACTAGTTTGTTTGTCCATTCATCCTTTGATGGATATTTGTTTCTATCTTTTGGCTGTTATGAGTTATGTTGCTATGAATATTTGTGTACAAGTGTTTATGTGGACATAAGTTTTCATTTATCTTGGGTATATACCTAGAAGTGGAATTACTGGTAACTCTACCATAATGGTACTTCTGTGATTAACTTTGTGAGGACCTTCCAGACTATTTTCCAATTTCCCACATTCTTGCCAGTATTTGTTAAAAAAGATAATTAAAAAATTTTTTAAATTTTTTAAAAAAGATAATTAAAAAATATATAGCCATTGTAGTGGATGTGAAGTGGCATCTTACTGTGGTTTTATTTATTCAGGCCTTTTTTCTCTCTGTGCTTCATTTTGGGTAGTTTCTGTTGCTACAGTTTCAAGTCCATCAATCTTTGATTCTAACATGTTATTTTTCTAGCCAAATGTTCTAGCCAAAACATTCTAGAAAAATGTTTTTATTTCTAATAATGTATTTTCATCTGGAAGTTTCATTTGGGTCTTTTTGTTTAGATCTTCCATTTCTCTCCTTATCATGCTGTTTTTCTCTTAATTTTTGAGTGTGTGGAGCATATTTAAAATAACTTTCAATATTACTGTCTCCTGATTCCATCATCTATCATTTCTGTGTCTGTTCCTATTGATTGATTTTTCTCCTGTTTGCACAGTATACTTTCCTCCTCTGCATGCTAGGTAATTTTTTATGGTGTGCTGAACATTGTGAATTTTACATTATCAAATGCTGGATTTCATTATGTTCTTCCAAAGAGTATTAGACTTTATTCTGACATGCAATTAAGTTACTTGGATTAGTTTTATTTATTTATTTAGGCTTCCTTTTAAACTTTCTTAAGGTAGGTCAGGAGCAGTCTTTAGAGCTAACTTAGTCCTTTACTCACTAGCTACCATTCTTAGGACTTTCTGAATGTCTTTCTTACTATGGTCTCTCTACTCTGGTTGACAAAAACACAAACTGGAATTGTTCAACCTAATGCTTTCCAGTAGTTATTTCCCCAGTCTCACATGTACAGATTCAGCCAAAGTTCTGAAAGGACCTCTCTGGAGCTCTTTTTCTGTGTAAAGTAACTGTTTTCAGTCTTTTGCCCCACAAATTCTAACCTCAACTTCTTTGTATATCTTTTTCCTTGACTAAGCAAGACCTCTGGGCTCTGTTTGGGTTCCCCCTCCCTGCACTGCATCCTGGAACTCCTCCCGACAGTAAGCTAGGTAACTATAGGGCTCTCTTCACTTGCTTTCCTTCCTCCTTTATCCTCTGTTGTTCAAGGTTTGAAAACAGCTGTTTCCCAGTTCATTTTTTACATTGGTGCTTTCAGACCAACATTTAAAAAATATAAATATAATTATGTTATTATCCAGCTCTTAAAATATTTTAATGAATGCCTGTTACCCTCAAGATAAAGTCCAGACTAGTTAACTTAGCTTATAAAAACTATAACAGTTAGGGGTCTTTGGTGGCCAGTAATAGAAACCAACACTTCCGGCTCTAATGAAAAAAGGGATTTATTAGAGGGATAGGGGATAACCCACTGATTTAAAGGAAAGGCTGAAGCAGAGGCTTAGGAAAATCAGGAACCAAAGGAGCTCAAAGTTTCTAAGAAAAAGGAATTATTTATTTAGGACCTACTCCTTGGGTCTCTCTGCTCTGGAATCAAATTAGGGGCACAGAGAATATTTGTTCACTTGGCCTGAGTTTGGGTCATGGACCACCCTCCAGGAGGGCAGTGTCCCCTGAATGTCCTACCTTAAGAGCCACAGTAGAAGAGGGAAGGTTCTCCCAAGGGAATTTGAGACTCCATTACTAGGTGAAAGAAGGATAAATGCTGTACAGCTAAAAATCACAGATTTTTTCAGGCTTTCAGGGTCTGGCCCCATGCTGCCTCTCTAAAGCCACTCCTCTCACTACCCTGCATTTCTTGCAGCCTGTGCTTCAGCCACACTCAATCTTTTGCCATGTCTCTAAGGTGCCAGGTTCCCTCATGCCTGAGTTTACTTGTATATGTTATTTCTTTTACTAGGAGCCACTTGTCACCCCACCTCCTCCAGACCTCAAAACAAAAAGCCAACATGACCAACTTGAATTGTTTCTGCTTCTGCTCATATACCTGCCTTCTAGGAAGCTTACCTTTACCCTCCTAGTCTGGACTAGGTATCCATCCTATTTACTTTCAGAGACCTGTGTATCTTTCCCTTACAACACTTAGTACATCAAACTGTGGTGATTTACTTTTGTGGCTTCTGAAGGACTGATAGCTTCTTGGGAGTAGAGACAGTCTCACTTGCTTTGATATTTTGGCCAGTTCATAATAGACACTTAAATTTTTTATTAAATAATGTCTTTTCTTCATAGGGGACTCTGCTGGATGTAGATGGACCCCAGAAAACTCTCAACGAAAACTTAGAGCTCAGATTTCAGTATAGCGAGAATAGTCGCTGGCAGTGGTTTGTTGTTTACACCAAACAGGTGAGTTCTCAGGGCAGAGCATGAAAACCTTCTGTTTAGAGATGGTCTCTTGCTCGCTGGGGTGGACAAAGCACATTACCCTAACCTAACCAGAGCATAATAATAGGATATGCTACATACTGTCTTTTTGGTGTGTAATATACTGTCTATTTAGTTTGTTTTTGCTTTCTTTTACTCATCACCACAGCCTTCATACCAATTAGAAATGAATTTAGTAACCAAATAACAAAAGACCCATCTTACCAGTAGCTTAGACCATGGGGCTAAATTTTTATTAAATAATGTCTTTTCTTCATAGGGGACTCTGCTGGATGTAGATGCTCAGAGGGCTGTTTTCAGGCTCATATGGTTTCTGTTGCAATGACTCAACTCTGTTGCTGTAGCACAAAAGCAGCCACAGATGATACGTAAACAAATGGGTATCCCGTGTTCTAATTAAACTTTATAAAAACAGGTGGGGGCCTGGATTTGTTTGCTGACCCCTGGGTTAGACAATACAATCATCTTAATAAGAATACTGGAGGTAGATGATTGGCATCCCTATTATTCTCTTGATCTTTCCTAAGTAGAAGACAGCTTTTCCTTTATCTGGAAGCAAAAGCTCTACCCCAGAATCCACCAGTAAACTTTCTATTATGCCTCATTGGCTAGACCAGGGTCAGTCCCATGACCACTCCAAATTGCAAAGGAGTCTGGGAATCAAGTATTTAGCAAAGAGAACCAGGATTTCCAATCAGTTTAGCATGAGTATGAGTCATTGCCTGAAGCTGGGCACTTAGTCATCCTAAACAAAAATCAGGGTTTTCTTAGGAGGGAAGAGGGCTATTGGGTAGTAAGCTATCCAGGTCTGCCACAGGCTTATCACTAAAATTGGAGTAAAAATTCTAAAGTAATATCTAAATTTCTAAACACCAAATTCAATTGAAAAATTTTTACTGAGCCAGCTTAAGCTATTTCAAATTAGAATCAAAAGTACAAAAATTCTAAATGGAACCTAATTATCAAAATAATCTTTGCATTAACATCCTATTCAGTGTGAGTCCCTGGTGATCACATAAGTTTCATGGAACTTTCTGGTTTCAAGTAACCAAAGCTCCTTTTCAATTCTACTTCTAGTAGAGTTGCGATCATGAGATAATAGATATCCAAGTCCACTGCAAAACAGGAAGTACTAAACCAAAATCCCAAGTTCAAAAAACGGTCTTCATGTTCACCTTGAGTATAAAACACCCTTAGGGAAACGATAGGGTGGTTTGCTGAGGCAAGATTTGCAGTCACTTAGAGAGACATAGAGAGATTTTAGCAGTGAAAACAGCCCTCCACCCACCACCCCAGCAGAATGCTAAGTGCAATAGTTAAATTTTATTATGGTCTATTAATCTAGTCTGTAGCAAATGAGTTTAAACCAGGATAGAGAGGTGCAATAAACATCTTTTTAAAGGATTCCTGGTAAGGTCTTATTTCCTTTGGAGTGTGGGTTTATTGATATGCACCCAAGGGCTACTGATGAAAAAGGCAGAAATGTGGCTTGTGGGCCTTGCAAATACAAATGAGGGCTTGGGCCTGATATTTTCTAGGCCCTTTAAACAAAAGCTCTGTCTCTTCATATTTAATAAACCTGAACTGCTTCATAGCAGAGTCCTAACCTACATACCGATGTGCATTGTATAGGAATATGGAATCGTCTGCACCTTGTGGGACACTATTATTCCTAGCTGCATTGTTGGGAGCCACACAAAGACAACAAGATGGCCACAGTTCATGAGGTTCCCGCTTCACTTCTTGGAGATTAGCTACGAGCCCGCGCGCGCCAACAAAGAAGCCCGCGCGCGCCAAGAGATACTCTTCTCCCCCTCCTTCCCCATTATCATATACCAATCAGAATGTAACTCGCTGCGCCACCCCTGCTATGCAGCCAATCCCCTGCCTACAAGTATCCTATGGCCCACTCTGCCCCTGAACACTGGTGTATATCTACCCCCGTCTTACAATAAAATTTGAAGGCTTGATCAGAATACTGTCTTGCCTTCGCTCTTCTCTCGCCCCCATTTTCTTTCAGGTCGGATCCCCCTCGTCCCCACAAATAACTAAGTCCCGCTGGACGGNTGCCCCTCAGGACAAAGGACGTCCTTGAGCACAAACTTATATCAAGGCCCTATGACCTCAAGCTTTGAGCTTCATTTGGCTCAAATCTTTGAGAGAGAGAGAAAAGCAAGCCAAGAATTGAGAGCAGGACAGTAGAAAAGAGGATTTGTGGGAAAATAGCAATTAGGAAAATCACAGGGAACCCTAAATTTGGCACATGGGGTGAAGATTCTGCAAAAAAAAAACACCCCAGCTTTTGTGTAGCAGGATGTATAACGTGTGCTTTTGGGACTAACAATTATGAGCCAAAAATAAGCCACAGATGATATTGGGGGCAGCTGCCAGTCTTAAAAATGAATGATTAACAGTACCAGAAAAATTAAAAAGTGAAGAGAACCTTATTTATTTTTAGTTCTGTAAAATCTATAAGGTACTAATATAATCTTTCAAACAGACAGATGACTATTTATGCCTAATGATAGGTTCCTCAATAATTATGCATGCAATTAAATATAAGATTGACCATCATCAGTTGATTTGATTATATTAATAAGCAGTTTTTATTATTTGTTGCTTGTAAAACATGCACTGCTTACAAAGTAATACATAAAAATAGGAGGGGGGATTTTTAGGAAGGAAAAAGATTATTAACTGTAATGAGTTCCTGACCATTCTTCCTCCATCATTTAAAAAAATTACTGTAAATATATCTGTATAATTAAGAAAATGTATGGTTACTAGTTAATTGTATCTTCTGCAAATTTATGAAAGTTAAAAAAGAAATCTAAATTCTTAAAAGTGTGCCATTGGAAAACAGATTTCAAAACCTGCTTTGTGATGGAAGGAAGGAAGAAAGAGAATGGAAATCTCTTCAGTTGAGGGACCTGTTTATTTCTGGATTTCTTAGGCTTTTTTGCTGAGTAGCTGCTTGAAAAAGATGATTTCAGAAAAGATGGTAAAGCTAGCTGCAGAGAATCCAGAAATGGTAAGTGCTCTTATCTGTGCATACTTTTTACTTTAAACTCCCACCATTGGGCAACACTAACCTACACTGATGAATTCCCTGGGCCAGAGTCTAGTTCTCAAGGAATCCAACTGCCCACACAAGTGAGTTCCTCTGCCTTCTGGGAGCTCTGGCTTTAGAATCCAAGCTATTTTGCCAGCAAGAAGTCATCCTTGGATTACTGAGAACTCTGTAAGCTTCTACTCTGTATTCTTTTATCTCTGCCTTTTCCCAGATGGAATATTTCGGATTTACCATAAAAACTACATTATAAAGTCAGAATCTTGAGAGGTCTTTGACACAGTGGTCATGATCTTAATTAAATAAACTCTACAGTTTTTTTTATCTCTAGAAAGAACTTGCAGCCTCTTGATACTTCCACTATGCTAAATTAAAATGCCTTTAGCAGTTGGGAGAAGCCATCCACTAAAAGAAGCTCTCAAGGCTATGATCTTTCCTCAGTGGAAAATTAAATTCTTTTTCTAATCCATGTCTCTTCAGTAAAGACCTAGTAATTCATAGAAAGGATTAATAGCAGGCTGCTGAAAGAGACACAGAGATTTTAAACTTTTTAACTTGTTTGTCACCATCATGATTTAAACATGTCTCAAATAAGACAGTACAGTTTGACTTTTAAAAATGATTACAAATACTAATGACATAGGCAGTGTAGTTCAGGAAGAGAGACAGGCCTTTGGTGAATCAAGAAATCACAGATATTAGTGGCTTTAATGACTGGTTGACATTTATAAGCACAATCCTTTTGTAGAACATTATACTGATCTTTAAAAATGCAAAACAAAACATTTAGGAACGTTCCCTAATGTTTTCATTTAAATTTACTCCTTTATAAGAAGATGGATGACATTTTCAACTTAACATGGTTCTTTACTTGACTTTGCAGCTCTTTTTCTAACAAAATAGTTGCATTTTAGCCCTGTTTCTCTTTCTTCAAGAACTGAAAATATTTTCTATAAGATAAATTTTAGTCAAAATAAGCAGGTGAAGAGAGGCAACAAAGGGCCAGGTAGTTTATTTGAGTGCCACTCCCGGGTGATATTCCGCGGTCTGGGTGCTACAGGCTGGGGAAGTCACACCCAGTCAGGGAGGTGGGGGCTTATAAGGGATTAGGAGGGGGAGGAGTGGGCAAGCTATCCTAGGGGGTGTGGAGAGGTATGATTGGCTAAAGGTGACATAATAGACAACTAGAAACTTTTTTTCCTTCCAAGAAGGAGGAGGCTGACATCTGGGTCTTAGTTGGCACATCAGAAGGATGGAATTCAGGAAGAGCTGTCCGCTTTCCATATAAGGCACGGACCTTGGGGTCTGGTCTGTTCTCCCCTATAGCATCTCTCTGTTCTGTTTGCATATCCTTGTTTTTCCTTCCTCCAGCCTAACATTTTCCAGGGACAATAAAATTTCACTGCCTCTTGATGTCTGAACAATTCAAAATGTACTAGATAGTAGCAGATCAAAGCAATAAAAGAATCAAGGGTTCTCTTTTTAAAAAAGTAATAAAATCTAACCTCTTAGGCAGGATGGACCCCCTTAGGCTCCAATTATTATTCATATAAAAAGAAGAAAGAAAAGTAATTAACTGAAGTAGTGCCATTGAAAGAGAAAAGTGCTCTCAAATGTGGCTGAATGAAATGTAAGCTACATAATCTAGGAAATACACATATAACAAATAGCTCAAGAGTTTGCTCAATAACAGAAGGTAGTGATCTATTTAAAGTTTTAAAGAAAAACAGCCACACTAATGCCATTCCTTAGATTTGCACACAAATTGAAATGTATAGATTTTCCCTGTGGCTGATAGCAAAAGTAGTATGTTAGTAAATACTTGTATTGCTTTATCCAAATATTCAAGTTATATTTCCACAAACTATTTCTTTACTTATTTTGGTTCTTGGAAAGGAAAGTTAAGACCCTTCCTCTGGAAAATTAGCTTTCCAAGGGGATGTTGTAGGGATAGCCCACATTTTGATCTGGAATTTTGCCTACAAACTCTTGGGTAGAATGGGACCCTGGAAGATAAAAAAGAATAGATAGATCAGCTGGGTGAACTGAGTTCTGGGCTGGAACAAGTATTTAAAGTAGCTATATAAAGGTGTATCTATGACATTCACTCATTTTCTAGGTAAACAAAAACATCTGAACTGACATCACTTACAGGAAGCTTCAATGGACTAAGATACAGAGGTCTTTATTTTATAAGGCAGAATAAATTCCAAAATTTTGATAATTGTGAAGAATCTGGGAAGGGGAACAGAAACTGAGAAAACTGTAACCATATGAGCCCCATAAGTAAAGCAGATGGTCCCCAGAAGCAGCTTAGTTTTATCCTAGTAAGAAGGAGGAGTGAAAGAAGAAATTTAGTGCTGACTTAATTAGCTTAGATTGCTTTAGGCAGTACTTTCAGAGGTAAGACTTGAACATTTATGAAGAGATCATTAAACTTGAAGTCAAACAAATGCACTAAAGAAAAATAAATATACAGAAAAATCATGTTACCTTATTAAAAGGAGTATAACTACAAACCAGAAGAGGAAAAAGTGTAGCATTCTTCTTAGAGCTACACCTAAATAAATTATGTGGATATTTGCTTCTTTGAACTAGAACAGAATTATAAGGATTATTTTATTTGAAAATAGAGTGTATTGGTTAGTAGGTTTGGCCACATATAACAAAAAAACAAAACAAGACAAAATAAATGTCATAAGCAAAATAAAATTTTGTTCCTCTCTCATTTAAAAGACGCCTGGAGGTAAGTAGTCTTCTGGGTGGTGTCATCAGGATGTAGCCAGAGGCTTTCTGCTCTGCTGCCTTCAGTGTGTGGCTTTTACTTCAAACTTGAGATGGTTCCTGGAGCTCCAGTCATTACATACTCATTCTAGGCAGCAGGTATGAGGGAAGTATGAAGAAGGGCTCATGTATTTCTTCAAGGAGGAGCCTCAGAAGTCCCACACAGAATTTCTGTTTACAGCTCATTGGCCAGGAGTTAGTCTCACCACAGACCCACACCTAAAGAAGTCTGGTAAATATAATGTTTTTTTGTAGGGTGTATTGTCTCTCCAAATAAACTTGGATGATATTACTAAGAAAGAAGAGCAGAATGGATAATAGACTAAGCTGCCAGCAATCTCTGCCATTGTAAAGAACTCTAAAAGATACCAAAAAAAAAGAAAGCAGATGTATTTTATGCAGTGGACGTGTTCCTAAGGAGTTTTTGAAGGTGTAACATTATTATTATTATCCTGTGTATCAAACCATAATATGAATACATAAGAGGTACTATGGTAAATAATTTTCTGAATTGAAAAACAATTTATATTTTTAACAACTCATACCTAGTTTTCTTACTTTGCATATTTTTTCCCTTAGGTTTACTAAAAAGTGGGTCCAAATCTTTAAACTGCTTTTCTAAAAAATGTCAAAGAACAGGATGGCTTTCTGATTCCAGCTGGCCTCCTACCTCTCTGCGATTATCTACATCTATAATCGCCATATGTATTTTTCTCTCCACTCACCTTTCATTTGGGTCAAGACCAGATTGTATAGAAGACCACGGGCTCAAGATCAGTGTTTTGAAATGTGTTTCTGTTATGTGGTGAGAAGGGGAAACATCAAGGGTAGGGCTATCTGATGTCCCAGGAATGTGAGCCTTTAAATAGCTGGTACAGCCTGGAAAACAGGACAAGTACAGGCATATTACAGCCATCACGAGAATGGTCTGAGCATAGCAGGTGGACAAAATTATAGAGAGGCAGGGGGAAATTACTCTGCAGGAACAGTGCTTAGATATTAGCAGGAACTAGTCTATTGATGGTGTGCAGGAATACTGCATTATGCGAAAAAGATTCACTTCTTTCCTCAGCTTTGTTCCCCCTTATATATAAAATATTGACTGTCTTACTGAAATAAGTCAAAGAAACAGATTATATCAGCAATTGTTTGGCATTTGTAGTTGGTTCTACTTTATTTCAACATAGGGAGAAGGAGGGGAAGGAGAATCAGAAAGAGAAACATTCTGAGAGGTTTTCCCTCAACTTCTGCCTTTTGTTGTATAAGACTACTCACAAACTATAATGTAGTATTGATAATAGTGATACTAGGAAAACACATAAGACATCAGTATATTAACTTCTCATTTACAAAGACTTATGAACTGATTTTTTAAAAATCATTGAGATAGGCTTCAAATATATGAACATTTTTATTAAGAATACTAACCTAAAGGAAGTCCTATGCATCCTTCAGTCTATTTTACAAAAAATTAAGTTAGCCATAGTTAAAAGATAATGCTCTTTCACAGTGTCATGTTGTTTATCCCACTTACTTGAAAATGTTCCACTTTCAATTCTCATGAATAATATACAATAATGAACAACTTAATATACCCCTTCATTCTATCACTTAACAAATACCTGTATTTATTATGCAGTGGCTAGAAACAGGCTCCAGAATCAAGGAGTTTATCCATTGAAAAAAGGCGATTAGTAAAGAAACAATTACAGTTTCAGAGGGATAAGTAGAGACACGCACATATAGTTAGTTGTTTAATAGTAGTTCTGGACTTTTGCTATAAGAAGGGTGTGAGAACACTTTCTCCCAAACCCTGGCTAGCTCCCATTTCCTCGCTGTGCCAGACACTCAGTTTGCCCCTCCCATGCCTCTGCACTCTTGCCCACCCTGCTCTGTGGCCCGGACACTGATCCTGGTGTGCTTTAGCGTTGCGCTCTGGCCTCCCACCGGACCACCCGTGGGAGAGCCCAGACAGATCGGAGGGTGGGAGAAGCGTGAGACGGGGGTAGCTCTTTCGCATTTTGTGACCATTGGGTCTCTGGTTGGCAGCGCCTCTCCTGAAGGCCACACTCCTTAGGTGTCCTCCTCCCTGTAGCTGTAACCACTCTCAGCCCAGTGCCAGCTGCTCCCCTAGTCCTTAAGGCCTAGAAATGGTAAGAACCCCATTCCCCCCAGCCCCTCTGGGCCCTGGGAACTCCAGCATCCCTTCATTGACTTGCTTTAATCCTGCCCATATCTCCATTTAGTAGTTCCTTTTTAAAATGCTCCTCGTTTACTCCAGGAATGTGCCATCTGTTTTCGGCTGGGACCCTGACTATTATATGAAGTTCACCTTATGTACAGGAGGTGTTTTGAACTTCAGTTCAATTCTTCACTTGATTAAGGGTGCCTTTTGATTAATCAAGCCTCATTTGACTTTGATTCAGTGTATGGATTGGAGCTCCTTGGATTATTTTAGGATTTAGGAGTTCATTTAATTTTGGGTGAAGTCCTTTTAGAAGCTGTGTTAAATCACAAAGTCTGTAGGCAACCACCAACGTTAAACATTAAACTTCACTTAACTTTTGGAAGTTCGATTTCTGTAGCATTTGGACTCTTGCAAATGAAGGGGGAATGTGCAGATGACAAACAGGTGTGCCTGCTGACTGGCAGCCTTTGGGACCATTAAGAGGATTATTGTGGAAGGGGAAATGTGCTAGTTAAATAGATTATTTGTGTGCTTGCTCCTCTAGGCTGTGCTGACTGACATTTTACTAATCTCTTTAGCAGATTGAAGTTCCAGAACAAGGGAAAAGTAAAAAATACCACATTCAACAAAGCCAGGTCTGTGAGTAAAATTATGTAATTGATACCTTATAATTTGATAAAAGTGCCCTTTTTTTCCTTGTAAGTAACCAAGATGATTCTACTTTTAAGAATAAACCAGAATACTCTTTCTCAGAAGCTCTTCCATGTAGGTTGCACCAACTGGAGGACTGTCACAGAAGTATAGTGTTTAATTGTAGCACCCAGTAGGGCTAGGAGAAATGCTTTCCTGAATTTTTATATAGAAAATTTCCAAGAACACCAAATTCTTTAGGATTTCTTTATATACCCCATGCATTTTTTTAAGAAAATCCTAATTTTTATTTTTTATGTTATTATTTATATATTATTTATAAAAATGAAATGTTTTATGGATTTCCTGCTGTTTACTTTATATTAAACAACTTTTAAGTTTATAAAATACATTTTCAAGCAATTAGGTCTGCTGTGCAGATAACAATAACAATAAAAACCATAGGTGTTTATTGCCAGCTACTGTTACAGCCCTTGTACATAGATTAATATATTCATCCTTCCCACTATCCTGTAAATCAGTTGAGAAACCTTAGGCACAGAGAGGTTAGGTGACTTGTCTAGGTTGCACAGTAATCAGTGGTGGAAGGAAGCAGGCAGTCTGACTCCAGAGGTGTGTCCTTAGTGAACTCTTCCTAGGTTCAAATCCTAGTGTTGGTAAATGATAAAGGTGACCTCTAAGTAGTGGAATTTATTATTGGTCCAGCTCTTGTCACAGAGTCTGCTGTGTATATAAAGGTACTAAGAATGTAAGCTCAGTATTTTAAAATATCTAAGTATATAAGGCCTTTCTTGAGCGAATAAGCTCAGAAATAAAGATTAAAAGCAGACTAACTGCAAAGCTTTCTCTCTTTCATAACAGCATTTCTGGTTACGTAGATTGGAGCCAGGAGATGAGAACTCCACCACTTACTGGCACTGGGTCTTTAGGCAAACCAAAAAAATAAATGTGTATAAGGAACTCCTAGAGTGCTTATTAAAATGCAAATTCCTGGGCCTCATCTCAAAAGATAATTCAGTAGATCTGCACTTATAGCAAGCACCCCAGTGGGAAGCCCCGCACCAGGCTTCAGTATCTTTATCTGTAAAGTGTAGGTGGTAATCATGCCACCACTGAAATTCCTCCATTTCAGGAATTTCTAGTGATGGCATAGAGCTGTGGTTCTCAGCCTTGGCTACACATTGGAATCAACTGGGGAGCTCTAAAAACTAACTGTAGCTGGGCCCCACCCTCAGAGGTTCTTGTTTAATTTGTCTGGGGCCTGACAACAGAATTTTTTAAAGCTCTAATGTACAGCCAGGATTGGAACCATTATCCTAGAACAGTGGTTCTCAAAGTGTGGTCCCTAGACTAGCAACATCAGCATCCCTTGGGAACTTATTAGAAATTCAATTTCTCAGGCTCCAAACCTATGTCATCAGAAATTCCTGGGGTGGGGCCAGCAATCTGTGTTCAGCAAGCCCTCCAGATGAGTTTGACCCATGCCCAGCTTTGAGAGCCACTGTGTCAGGGTGACAGGCAGCTCTACATGCAGCACAACTGTGCTCAACACTGATGCTAATTCAGGTGTCCTCTCAGGTGAGCATCAAAGCTAAAACAGGCCAACCTCCTCATGCTCTGAGCAAGGCCAGCATGGGAGAAGAGGGCCTGGCATCCAATTATATTGAATTCTAATTTATTTAGCAAGCCTTTTGTAGAGCTTATCCTGAGCCAGGCACTATTACAATTGCTTTCTATATATAATTCATTTCATCCTTATAACAGCCCTGGTATTATTATCCTTGGTTCATAACAAAGGCAACTGAAAACACAGAAGGTTAAGTAACTTGCCCAAGGCAAGTAAATGGCAGAACCAGTATCCAACCCAAGAGATCTTTGTTTGTTAAGAAATAATTTTTTGCTCCTTTAACCACTTTGCACTGGGGCATCTATCTCAAGACAAATCAATCACTCATAGAAAAAAAGTTTCTAGCTGATCTGCCAACTGAGGTGCCCCATATTTATTTCACCAGTATCAAGGCCCACTCTCCATGGCCCTGTCCTTGAGATTTCATAAATACTGAGCCAACTATTCACTCACTGAAGGCTTGTAACCACCATAACTTCTTAAAATGTTTAAAAATAACTATAGTACTTGTTGAAATTTTGTACTGTGTATTAAAGATTTTGGTTGAAGCTAAAAATTGAAAGTCACGTGGCTTTAAGGGAGGAGAAGGACAAAGTCAGAGCCCAGATGTTGCCTTGGGGACATCCCAGCACGTGGAAAGGTTCTTGACGTGTCTACCTCAGCCTACCAGTAGGGCTGCTCTCAGTGCCAACGGCTGCACACCTACCCCAAAATAAAGCTGCTACAGGGTAAAACCATGAAAGAGAAGCACTGCTTAAACAAATGTAGCCTTTCTGTTGCCTTTTTAACATTCTTAGCTTTTTTTTATTGTTATTGTTGTTTTGGGAGTTATTTCCTCTCATACACATTTCTTCTCTTTACTTTACAACAGAAAGACTATTTTAGTTTTCTACCAAGCAAAAGCAAAATTAAGGTAGCTGAAGTTGACTGTGTTTTGGGAGCCATAAAGGAAGACGATCTTTGAAGAAAAAGTCTCACTTCTTAAAATGCCCTCTAAGGCTCTCTTGAGAGTGAAAGAGCCTGGGGGCGGAAAGTAGCTTCCTACCATGCATAGAGAAAACTGGATCCCTTTCTATGTTTTGGACGTTAAGATGGACCATATTCATCCAGATTACTTCAGAACTCTGTTAATCTCAAGATTGAAAAGAAACATGAACCACAGTTACATGGTTTCTTTTTTATGACTCATAAATGGCAAGTTGCAAATCCAAATCTGTTAGTATGAAGCTTGTTCTTTTTTCCCCCCAAAAATAGATGTTTACCTGACTTCAAGAAGTCTTTGATATGTCTGATGTTACATGATGAAAGGCTCAGTATAAAATACTATGAACAGACTTGGGGATAAGTTCTGAAAACATGACTCATCAGCTGAGGAAACTGTGGCTCTGTGTAAGAAGTGGAATCACTGGAAAAGAAATCTGGATTTCACTGATCCAGCCACAGTACCAGTGTAAGGAGGTGATGAAATGCTAATTTGTTCCCTTAACATAATTCTGAACCTACCAGTATGGATGTGTTCAAAGTAATAGGCTGCCCTTCCCTGTTTCTCCCCTGTTGTAACTGTATTCTGTCCCAGGAATACTGGATTCAATTTAATAATCATCTTGCTATTATGAATATTTTTATTTTAGAAAGCAATGGGGCCCTGCCCTTGCTTTCAGATAACTGTAAAAGCCTCTTAGCTTTAAAAATATGTGTACCTTTTCACTTTTTCCTTATCCAATTTCAGTTTATCATGATACTTAACATATAGAATTATATATAGAATTAAGACTGTAATGAGAGAGATGGAGGAATCTGTGTAATTAGATAAAGTGCAATATTCTAATGTTCTTTTCCAAATGGGTTGCATAGCTGATTATATAATATATATGAAAATATTCTAGTAAATATAGCATTTACTGATGAAAATTCTGTGAATGATCTTTTTGAAGTGTAGAATCTATTAAAGCCCAAAATATTTATAAAGCAATGCCTCTAGCCATAACTTCTAGTGCCATAAAATTTTATATTTATATTTTAGGTTGCAGTAGGAAACTTTTGCAGGGCAAAATCATAAACATCCCATCATCTGTGGATTAATGGATTAGGATGCATTTTCAGCTTAAAGTAGAAGCTTATCTACTATTTTGCCAATTTAAGAATAGTCACTCTATTTCTTTTTCATAGCAAACACCTACACTGTGTAAGGCTCTATTGAAGACACTAGGAATGCAAGGAGAATTTGCATTTGGGGTGAGGAGATGCAGATATTAGATTGAACCATATGCAATTGCTATCTTATAGATCAAAAAAAGTTGAATGCTGTCAATTTCATAGGTTTCCACTTGATTCATTCAGAGCCAGTCATCCCAGACAGAATGTAGCAGATGTCTAATGTTCCATGTGGACCTGAGTATTAAAGTTGTGCGGTGGTCAGGAATGCTCAAGGGACTTTGAAGAAAGAGTAGAGCCAGGGGGAGGCAGAGATGGGGGCATTAACGTAAAAGGAAAGGATAGACACTGGTGGGAGAATGAGTAGTGTTTGGAAAACAATGAGCAAACTCACTCTGCAAAAAGTTAGGTTAAGGTAGTCATTAGGAGATGAAGCTGAGAGGTAGGAAGGATCTGTATTTAATTGTTTTTATCAAGACATTGAGATTATCAGTATCAGAATATGAGAAGAAAAAAATATACTGTGTGAAGAATAAAGGAACTGAAATAGTAGAAAACAAAATTCAAAACTTAACTTTGTAAAATGACATATTCCATAGCAATTATATGGGAGAAGAAAGGGCTCCTTAGCCCCTTTGGGGATTACTAGGCCTACCTTTATCTACAAGGAGGTTGAATTTGAATCACTTCTGAGTCAAAACAGTTTATCACTGGGTAAAAAACTAAACTCAAACTGCCAGAGTGGCCTTCCCTGCTGCAAGGCCCATGGGAAAATGGCAGGTAAGAGGCCCAGCTCTCCTGAGGGTGATGACCTCACTCGTCTGCTGGTGCTGTTGGGATGGGACCTTCCCGTCAGCATGGGAGAAGACATCAGCCAGTGCATGACCTTCATAAAGGTAGGCAACTGTTAAGACCCTTTAAATAGCTCCTTATTGGTAGATTCGCTCATATACCTGCAGAAATGTAATATGCCTGCCAAATTTTCTCCTGAGGCATCTACATTCACTAACATCACTCCTCTTAGTCTAGACATTGCATATTTGTTTCTACTGCTGTTCATACTCCTAAAATAACTTCCATAAGCATTCTACCCTCAGGCAAACACAGTTGAGTTTTAAAATTTCACAGAAATAATTATGAGGAAGAATAGCAGAACTGATTAAATTCTGGTTAGGCCGCTGAGGCCTGAGCCCCTTTAGGTTCTTCAGAAGGAAACATGTACAGACTTTGAAGAGCCGATGTGCTTTCCAAAACCAGGTCTCAGTGTAGGTAATATGTGGTGAGCTTAAAGCTTGCATACATCCCTGTGTAGACAGTTGGGAAGCAAATTTTTATGTTAAATGTCTAAGTTAGAAAGTACCTTAAGTTCACCCTCACAGTTAATTTCAGAAGAGCTAAGTGATCTTAATTTGTGGAAAACCAAATAGGTTCCAAGCCTCAGTGGGAAAATAGTGGCCAAAGTGATCTAAAATACAAAATGAAAGAAAGCTCAGCTCTCCTATAGCATGTGGACAGTGGTCCACCAGGCAGGATGAGGGAGGGGTCCATGTGCACTCAAGATTGCAGCAGATGAACTGGAAAGTACACCTCTCCTTTATTAGAGTGGTCTCAATCCTGTCATCAGTGATCCTGGAAAAAAAAGTGAAGGAAAAGTTAGGTACATTTTGCTGGCTCTTACCTCCCCATATAAGATGTGTTGAAAGTATGGCTAACCAATAATCCCACATAAAGTGGCTTTTAAGCTTTATAATTCCCCCACCTTTATTGGATATAGCTGTACTTTTCTTAAAAGTACTTTATAATAGCTGTTGTTGTATTGCTAAGAAGGAAGTCATTTGTGTAACAATTTTCCAGATGAGAAATATTAAAGCTATAGAATAAGTACATGGTGGGCTTGGGTCTTTGGTCTAGCCCTAGCCCATGTACTTTTCTGTGGGGCAAAGTCTTCAGCTAACCATATATGGGCTTTGCTTATGTAAAATCTCAGAACTGGCTAGACATTCAGTTGATTTAAAGGCATGGACCCTAGTGATTTCATACTCCTGCTCTGAATGTGGTTTCTGTCCCGGAAATAGAGGAATACAGAGTTGGCTGTACTTCTAATGGGTTTCCCATCTGTTCACATGAGCACATGTTTGGTGAGTTCTCAGTGCAGCAGTCATCTGGGGTGGAGGCACCCTGAGCAGCAGCAGCTGAAACTGGTCAGTGTGACTTGGCCTTGCTGCGTACACATATACTAGTCCTCTCACTGGGTCTTCCCTTTTGCGCTGGGGGCTCGTGCAAAGGAAGAGATGATGGACATCTGCATCTGGGTCCCAGTCAAGGGAACTTCAGAATTTTATTTTCATTAGAACAAAAAAGATAAGTAAGACAAGTGAAATGTCAGTGATTAAATATATATTTTGCAAATGTTAACCACTTGGAGACAAGTTCTATTAAAAAAATCAGTTAACTGTAGAGTTGATTCCAGGATTTTGCTTCCCAGTAGGTGGTGGAGCATCAGCCTTTCCAGAGGCACTGCACCAACAGGTACAGCTACTTACGCACAAAGAGAGTGCATAAAGTACTCCCCACAATTTGTATAGCATCATGTTAAGGAAGAAAACAGGAAGATTGTACATCAGAGTTTATTTTCTGTATTAACTGAATACATATCACGGTGGTTAAACTTAAGATTCTTACAGGTAACTGGGTTTTTAAATCATGTATGTAAGTATTAATTACTCTTTTGCAGTTAACTATGGCTTGGCTGTGTTACAGATTCTTTTTCCTCTTTTTTTTACCTCACATCTTTTTTTCCCTTTTCATTTGTAAAATTAAAACAAGTGACATGCAGTCTGGAAATCGTAATGAAGATAGGCTAAGATCTTAGGCAGTGACGTCACTTTTAAAAAATCCTAAAAACTTACTGCCCCATTACAAACTCCCTTACCTGGGACTTTTACAAAAACCCAGCTGGATTGTTAACAAAACCAAAACAAACCCAAAAAGCAACTAATTCCATCTTTTTTTAATGTATCTTGGGGCTTGGTAGATAAGATATGTGACACATTTTTCAGGATTTTAAAAAATGAAAACCATTTGTAAATCTTCTTTAATTCTGTTTGCCTTCAAATAAATGCAATTTGCAGTACCCACCTTTATTTTTTTCTATAAAAAGTCCCAAGTATCCTTTCTTGTTGGTCAGGTGTTTAAGTTCAAAAAAATGTATTAGTCCAATTGTATTTGCACAAAGTAGTTGTTACGAATGCAGTAGCCTCAGACTTTATCCTGACTTTGGCATTACAGTTTTTTAAAGGTAGAAATGAAAGCACAGGATCAGTGTTTTAAGAAGAAGAGGGCAGAACTGAAGCAGGTTCTGATTAAGTCTGTTTCCTGGAATATGTTTCAAGACTGAAAAGATGTGCTTTGCTTCCGTATGAATGATCCCCAGGAGTTTATTTTGACATTAATGTGAGAGTTAAGATCCTTCTAAGTCTAAAATTTCAGTTCGTTTTGAGCCCTTGGGTATCTAAGCTCCATTCTATGTTTGAAGTGAACCCTTTAACAATGCAGTTACCTAACTAGATTGCCCAGAATCATTCAAGCTGCATATTATCTGAACTAAGACTTCCCAGGGCCTTTGGGGCCAGCATGAACTCGTCCTTAGCTTCCCCTTTGCCCAGACTTAACAAACCCTGAACCAGCATGGTCTTTAAGGGGTGGGAATATTCAAGGGTTAGAAAGGAAACAGGACTGGAGAAGAGGCAAGGCTAGCATGGGCTGTAAGCTTTTCCCATACTATATCTCCTGTTGTCTTTCTTTGCCCACTTCTGAGAAAATTTGTAAGTCCACTAGCCCCCCCAAGTTTCTGGTGCTTGTTTTGAAGTATAAAATAAATGATTATATATGTGGACATAATCATTTCTTATGCACTCTGGACAGTTTTTATTGACTTTTTCTATGATGTGCAGCATTAGGTGCCTTGGAACTCAAGTGCTTGCATAATCCTGCAGCTTCCTAATCCTACTCTCCTAATAGCTCATATCTCAGTACTCAGTGATTTTGAGATCAGGCATAACTACAACCCAGGTGCCCAGAGATTATGGATTCAAGACAGTCTGACTTGTAGTGCTGTGCAAGCTATTCATGGACTCTCAGCCTAGGAATGGAACTCAGAAGTGATGTATGAAAGTTTTCTAGAGTTTTCTTGAAATATTTAAGAGTACTTAAGTTCCACAAAGGATGAGGGACATGATAGTGGGTGGAAGATGATCCCTGTGACTTAAGGTCTGAGCTTGCTTCTCTTCCTAGTTAGTAAAGTCAGCAAGTTACCTAACTGTGGCCCTGGGTTATATTGTCTACAAAATTAGTTGTAAGAGCCTACATACGTACTAGACTTTTTTTGTCAATTTTGTTAAGTTGGAACTATGTTTCCAGAGTTTCCTCTCCTGTGTGGTTCCATTTAGAATAAGCCCAAAGGGGACCTTACATGAAAACTGGGAGACAGAGCAAGGGAGTGGCTGTTACCTTCTGAAGGTCTTTTCCTACTCAGATACAGTGACATGCAAATAGAGGTATGCACAGTTTCCAACTTGTCCTTGCCCCCATCCCCTCCACTGCACATTCAGCTCCTGCTCTTGCTGGCTGGCCCTGCTAATCAACAGACCCCCTGGCCCACCCCCAAATGCTTGGTGGGAGACTCACAGAAGCAGTAGCTACAGAGAAGCAACAGCTTGCATAGACCTCTCCATGAGCTCTCCCTTAGTGGTCCCACTTCAGTGGGACCCAAGCCATTCTTGGCTTCCCAGAATCCTCAAGCAGAGAAGTTTGTTACTTTATCTGATCTGTCAACACTTCCTTCCAAGCCTTCACTTCCTGGTCTCCTTCCACAGTTGTGTGAGTTGGAAGGCCTATAATAAATCTGTTATCCTGTAACAGCAGTTCTGTTTCCCTGACTGAACCCAGCATCTCACCAGTCACTTATTAAGGCTTTGCAAAGCAATGCATTTGCTTAAACCTTTGCAAAAAGTATTCCTTTATTAAGGATCAGTTACTTAGCTTTTGGAAAGGAACATTAATTGGGGCTTGGCACTATATATGTTCCTGTCACATATGTTATTTTGTTTAATGTATGTGTAAAAATCTGTGTAGCTCTGATATGTGTGGATAAATGCAAAGAAAAATCACAAACAGGTGTTGCAGTCAAGAGGCAAGCTCTTTTCTTCTTTTAGGGGTCCAGCTGTCATCTTAGTAAGCCTAGAAATTCAAGGAGATCTAAGATGTTTACTTTCCAATTAACAAAGGGAGAGCGATCCCTTTCTGAAATTTTTGCTTGAATACTTAATTTCTAGTTGTGTTGCTCCTGGAAAAAAATATTATCCTCCCACGCTTCAATTTTTTCAGTTTTGCAAATACAATGCCTGACACACATGCACACATTTTTTCCTACCAGTTTAAATGTTTAGACCGATGGGGAACCAAAATGAATCTAACTCTGATGTAGGTAAATATTTGCTACTGGTCTCATACCCTGTGACTTACTCATTCAATGGTTATGCCTTGAGAATCCGAAGCATTGTTAGAAACACCTGATTCTCCCTGGCCTGGTGTGAGAGATGGGAAACCTGTGGAAACAACACTTTCAGAAGCATGTCTCCCTCTGACGGTCATTCCTTGGTACTGCAACAAATCAATCTGACAGAAGTAAAGCTCAGAAAGTAGAAATTCCACTTCCTTTGTAGGTATGCTTGTTTTTTAAACACCTCCCCATTCCAACACATCTCTTTTCTACAGAGACAACTGGTTACACAGGGATGGTGGCTAGCTCACCGTGAGTCTCTTCTGAGGAGTGTTTAATTATAATCTTTTTGAAATTTCCTAAGTCTTTTCTGCATTTTCTAAGACTGGATAGGAATATATAATTAATATAGCCCCAAACTCTTCTTTTCCTATCCGGAAGAAAACCTTCTAAAAGGAAATCCTATCCCAAGCGAATGTTTTCTGTCAGCCATTCATTCATTCACTCACTCAGTTGTGTCCAGTCCAGTGCTTCTCAACCCTGGCTGCACATTAGCATTCCCTAAGTGCCTTTTAAAAATATAGCTACCTGGGACATTCTTCTAAACAATTCTTACCTGATATTGGCTCAGACCTGGGTACTGGTATGTTTAAGTTCCTACAGTGATCATAATGTGCTGCCAGAGCTGAGAACTATGAAGCTAATATTCTTAAGCACCTGCTATGTGTCATTCACTATGGCAGTGCTTAAGGATTCAGTGGTAGGGATACAACTCAGCCACTGACCTTCTGACATTACTGAACCCAGGCCACAAAGACTGTCCCCTCTGTCTGGAATACTCCCTTGTTAATTGTATAATTAACTCCCCATTCTTTGCATCTCAGATTAACTATCAGTTATTCAAAGGCATTGCTGCCCTTCCATCTAAATTTGGTCCCATATTGGTTGCCCTCAGATAGCACCCCTCCTCCTTCCCTTCATAACACTTACCCAGTTGTAATTACAAGTATTCCTCTCCACTGGAACTCGGACAATCAGAACCCAGGACCAAACGCATTTTAACAATGAGGAGGGAAGCAGATTTACCTGAAGAAAATGTAGTTTAAGCTCCCAGGTCCTTGTGGTAGGCTGAAGAACATCCCTCAAAGGTGTCCATAACCCTCCCAGACCTGTTACCTTACATGGTAAAAAAGACTGCAGATGTGGTTAAGTTAAAGACCTTGAGATGGAGAGATGATTCTGGATTTTCAGGTGTATGCAATGTAATCCAAGGGTTCTTATAAGGAGGCAGGAGGATCAAAGTTTAAGATGCAAGGATGGGAGCAGAGGTCAGAAAGGAGAAAAGATGGTACACTGCTGGTTTTGAAGCCTAAGGAAGAGGCCACAAGCCAAAGAATGTGGGCAGCCTCTGGGAGCTGGAGAAGGCAAGGAAATGGTTTCCCTAGAGCCTCCAGAAGGAATGCAGCCCTGCCTACACTTTGATTTTTGCCCAATGAAACTGATGTTGGGTTTCTGATCTGAACTATGAAAGAATGGATTTTAAATCATTAAGTTTGTGGTAATTTGTTACAGTGATAATAGGGAATTAGTACAGCATTGTACCCCAATCTGTACAGGTCCCTCTCTGGAAGTATTCTTAGATGGTCATACATTTCTGTAAACCTTGGAAAATTAAAATGTTTTAACTGCAATTGATCAAGACTGCTTTTTCTTTGCACTCAGACTTCCCAAGCAGAAATACAGTTGGGAATACTTTGGTTTGTGTTTAATGGGATACATTCATCTGCTTCGTGGTCACATGCAGCATAAGTAATTGCTGGAGTGTGGGACTGGCTTCCGTGAACACTACTAATGCCCCAGTGCTGAAGTTTTCAGGTGTAGTGACATGGGGACTCACAGAATATGTGCAGCATGCAGTTTATTCCCTTAATCTGATCAGAGGAAAAAGTATCTGCACAGTTGCTACATTTTTTCAGATCAAACAAAAGCAGTAATTCTCAAAGAGGAAGAGATACATTTGAATAGAAACAATGATAAGCTCTCAGATTGTTTGATAAACCAGTTAATGAAGAGGAGCCAATCATGAACCCATTTGGAAAAGGTTTAGATTCTCTTCTGATTTGACACAACTTAATGGTTATCAGTGAAGATAATATAAATGCAACACAAAACCACAAGGAAGACACCCACAAGAAACTGGTTAATAAGTTATCTATTCAAAGAATATCTACTGTTTATGATTAGTCACTGCCCAAGAAAAATGAAATCTTATAATTCTTGTATGAAAGAAATTTGAGAGAGGTTTCCTCAAATTTGACAGTAAATCCTAACCATTTACATGACATTACCAGGAACAAACTGTTAGACTGAGTCATAGCTCTTGAGTGGTTGGACATGAGACATCCTAGAGGGTGGTTTGGCTGGGCAAGTAGTGTCCAGAGGAACTAGAATTCAGAAGAGGGATGATCACTGCAGAGGAAGTCTTCTTGGCTGGCACCAGAGTTGGTAAACTGAAAAAGAAAAAGTTTCCAGTAAATGAAATTTCCACTACCTACCACATTTTTAGTTTGGATGTATACATGTTGTATTTAGTCTGGAATCCTAAAAAGTGGAATATAAATATTCAAACTGTTTTGAAAAAATAAAACCTTAGGATCATATTGTAGAATTAGAGCAATTAATCATTAGTTGCTATTACTAATATGTCCGTTTGGATTCTATGGAAGACTTAGGTAGTGGACAGTAACTTAACTGATGCCTACAGTTTTTAATAAAACTCTTCTTGCTCTGAGCCTTCATTAGCTGTGGGGGTGGCTTGTATATTTAGAGAATGACGTGAAAATTGCCAAGTGCTCCTGGACTCAGCTTGGAGAAACCTTTTCTTAGGTCGTCATTCGCTTCTCTCCTTGCCTCAGTTTTCGTACCGTTCCTAATTTGGAGCATCTTTTTCGGAGTTGCTGATTCAGAGCAGGCCGAGTCGCCGTGTGGGCCTCCCACCTCCAGGGGGCGCACGGACTCCGAGGAGCGAGGCCATTCTGGCTCAGTAGGGGCCCCGCTTGTCTCTGTGGCCGCGCCTCCCCTGCGTCCACAGCTGTCGCCTCTGCGGCCGCGAAGGTATTACCTCTGTCGCCTCCGGTCGGCCGAATCGGAGGTACCTGGGCCGGGGTTAGGCAGCCACAGGGCGGAAGCCGCTGACGCCTCCCCTGCGGACCCTGAAGCCCGGGGAGCCCCTACCCGGTCTGGTCGAGGGGCCCGAGGGGCGAGGCCGCCCTGGCTCCCTGCACCTCCGCGGCGGCCTGAGGGAGCCAGGCGGGGCGCGCGCGGCTGGGGTGGCGTCCTCGCGGGGCTGTGCTGGGAAAAGGCCTGCGGGGGTTCTTGGGTGCGTTAGCGGGCCAAGGCTATGGTTGTCCGCCTGAGGGTGTCAGCCTGGGCCGGCCGGCCGGCCGCGGCACTCAAGGGGCAGGTCGGCGCCGAAGCCCTCAGCGGGCTGCGCGCTGTTGGGCCTGGACGGAGACTGCGCTTTGGGGGCCTTAGCGCAGACGGTACCGGGACGGCACGGCGCCCGGAATCTAGGCGTAAACAGAAGCTGTTGAGGTGTGAGTGAGCTGTCCTGAATGGCACGTGGCCCCCGGGGCGGCCCGTGTTAACAGACTGCATTTTCCTTTTAATTAACAAGTGATGCGACGCAGGTTGTTTACTCTCCAGGTTTTCCAGTACAGTGCTCTGTCTTGAGAAAAAGGCATATTTATTCATTAAAACGTCCCACAGTTTTCAGAATTGGCTACTGAACATAATGAGGTAAAAAATACACCACTGCATGAGTAACACTTCTCACTCTAAAAATAAGTAACGGTACCAAGGACCTCCAGCTTCGAGAATTGTAATATCAGTGGTGTAGGAATTACAGTAATAGCTATTTTCAGTGCTTACTATATGTCATTGTGCTGAGTGCTTTAAATACCTAGTATCTTTTTATTTAATCCTTGCAGCAATCCATTCCATTTCCATTTTACAGCTAAGGAAACAGGCACAGTAAATCTATAAATTAACTTGCTCAAGGTAAGACAGCTAGCAAAGGGGAGCCTCATCTCTCTTATTCCATTGTTCCTGCTTTTGTTACCTTGACAAACATACTCTCTAAGATTTTTTTTTGTTTGATTTGATTTGTAGCCACAAGTGATTCCTCTCAGGCTTAATTTTATTGGTTATATGCAAGAGTCCTGTACCAACTCCTTTTTAGTTTAAAAGGAGTTTAATGAGAACAATGTTTTCTCATTAAGGATTATAGTGAAAATAAAGTTAAGCATGGACTAGGGCCTAAAACATTCCAGTACAATTTGATATGAAGTACAGTTGGGTTATCTGGTTGTTAATGACTTTCATTACTTTTCTTCATTACAGTTGACTCTGAACAACACTTGTTTATTTGAACTGCACAGGTCCACTTATACATGGATGTTTTCAATAAATATATTGGAAAAATTTTTGGAGATTGCAAATGATTTGAAAAAACTGGTAGATGAACTATATAACCTAGAAATATAGAAAAAAATTACAAAAAAGTTATGTCATGAATGCATAAAATATATGTAGATGCTAATCTGTTTTATCATTTATTACCATAAAATACACACAAATCTATTGTTAAAAGTTAAAATTTATCAAACTTACACACAGACTGTACATTGTAGTATTTGCAGGTGAGAGAAATATAAAAGATGCAGTGTTAAAACATAACTTCATAAAATTAACTAACACCATCTTGTAATAATTTCATAGCCACCTCCTTTTGCTCTTGCAGTGAGCTCAAGTGTTATAAGTATCTGCTTAAAACACCTTGTGACACTAATTTCCTCATGAGCAGTTCCTCTCCAGTAAATTGGATATCACAGTAAAAAGTGATCTTGAGGTTCTTGCAAATTTTTCATTGTGTTTAATGCAATGCTGTAAACCTTGAGTAACAACATGAGATCCACACGAAGTGCCACTAGTGAAGATGCTTGAAGTGCTCCCAAGAAGTAAAGTCATGACGTTACAAGAAAAAGTTGAATTGCTTACATGTACTGTAGATTGAGGTCTGCGGCTGCAGTTGCCCACTACTTCAAAATAAATGAATCCAGTGTAAGGACCATGTGAAAAAGAGGAAATTTGTGAAGCTGTTGCTACAGCTACACCAGGAGGTGCAAAAACCCTGCACTTTTTGTGAAATACCTTTTTGTATCATATTGAAAATGCAGCTTTTATGTGGCTGCAGGATTGTTAGAAGAAAGTCATACCTATAGTATAGACTTTTAATATAATTCAAAAAAAGCAAAATCATTATATAACAACTTGAAGCAAAAGGAAGGTGAAGATGTAAAACAAGAATTTAATGCCAGCAAAGGATCATTTGACAGTTTTAGAAAGAGATTTGGCTTAAAAAAATGTCAATTACAGGAGCAACAGCTTCTGCTGACCAAAAGGCAGTAGACAGAGTTCCTAGGCACTAGTAAGAAAATGAAGGAAAAAGGATCTCTGCCTGAACAAGTTTTTAATGCAGTCCCTATTCTAGAAAGAAAAAATTGCCACAAAGGACATTATTAGTAAGGAAGAGAAGTGAGCACCAAGATTTAAGGCAGAGTCAATCAAAGAAATCATGAGATTGTGGATATGGCAAAAAAGGGGAGGGGTGGAGGGGTGCGAAGGGATTCAAAATATGGATCTTGGAGAAATTCAAGACACCACACCAGAGGAGTTATCATCAAGAGGAAGATGACTTGATGGAAATGAGTGCTCCTGAACCAGTGCAATGAGGAAGAAGACGTCAAAGCAGTGCCAGAAAACAAACCAACATGAGACAATCTGGCAAAAGGGTTCCAGTTATTTAAGACTACTTGTGGCTTTTTTTTTTACAACGTGGAACCTTCTATGATAACAGGTACTGAAATGAAAGCAAATGATAGTACCATATAGAGAAACGTTTTTAGAGAAATGAAAAAGCAAGAAAGTCAGTAGTTACAATGTTTTTCCATAAAGTTATACCAAGCGTGCATGTCGCTCCTGCCTCCTCTTCCACTTCCCACTCCTGAGACAGTATGACCAACCGCTCCACTTCCTCCTCTTCAGCCTACTCAACGTGAAGACGATGATGAAGACCTTTGTTACGCTCCCACTTAATGAATAATAAATAATCATCATGCCATACAGTTGATAAACTTACTGTTGTGCATGTCTGTCTTCATATGAAAATCTAATAACTATACAACAAGAATTGTTTGAGATATTTTTGAGTCATCACTATCACGTAAATATTCATTGTAGACATCATGTGCAAGACTTGTAAAGAAGTGAATAGCCTCTCCTTACATGGGCATAAGGTGGGTAATATTTAATATAAAAGTAATAATGTATTAGTTTTCCTACTGTTTCATAACTTTGCTTTCAAAGAATTATAGTACTGTACATTTTTCTCTGGTAGAGAAACTATCAGCTTGTCATCACAGGTAAGTGACTTTTAAAAAAATGTAACAGTGCTTCCAATTCTGCATTGTAAATATGACTGTAATACCTCATAAAAATTATGTAACCATTCATTCATTGGTGTATAGGCAAGGTTACCATAGGCAGTCACATTGCTGCTGCTTCATTATCAATACATGAATGATTATACCTATAAATGATTATGAATCTTTTCCTCATTATCTTTTTCTTTTGTCTAGTTTTAGTAATACAAACAACATCTACAATATTTTGTATCATGTAAGAATACTGATGTACATACTGGCAGACAGTTCATTTTCTAAATAGTGTAATCTTAATGGAATCAGTAAATATAATACAATATTGTAATATATTTTCCTTATGATTTTCTTGATATTTTCTCTAGCTTTATTGAAAGAATGCAGTATTTAATATATAACATACAAAATATGTGTTTATTGACTGTGTTATTGGTAAGACTTCTAGTCGACCGTGGACTATTAATAGTTAAGTTTTTGGGGTGTCAAAAAGTATATGTAGGTTTTCAACTGTGTACAATGTCAGTACCCTTAAGCCTGTGTTCAAGGATCAACTGTATTTGTGTTTTGATACCATTTTTAGGGAATTCACTTTGCCTTTGTAATATGAAGTAGTGCTGAAGGGAAATGAAAGATTTTTCAGTGACAGCCTGTTTCTTTGTAGAAAGAGGTTTGACCATTGGATTTAGCAATGCAGAAGTCACTGGTAACCATGCAAGAGCATTTTCAGGAGAAGAGTTTGGGAGAAAACCTGATAGGTGTGGTTATAAATAGAGAATAGGAGGAGAGGAATTAGAATCTGCAAGTCAGACAACTCTTTAGAGAAGGGTAGTTGTAAATTTTTCATGTACAGTTGACCCTTGAATAATGTGGGTTTAGGGATGCTGTCTCCCTATGCTTTCTGAAATCCATGTATAACTTTTGACTCCCCAGAAACTTAACTACTCACAACCTGCTGTTGACTATAAGCCATACTGGTAACATACGCAGATGACTAACATATACTTTGTATGTTATATGTATCATATACTATCTTTTTAAAGTAAGCTAGAGAAAAGAAAATGTTTTTTCAAATTGTCACAAATCTACAAAAATATTTCCAATATAGTTATTGAAAAATACTTGCATTTATGTGGACCCATTCAAGTCATACTTGTGTTCAGTGGTCAACTGTATAAATTATTTGAAAGCACTGTAGTCATTTCTACAGGAAATAATTGTATTTCTAGCTTCAGCTACTTAACAACTAGACTTGGATTATTTTATCAATGACTGGTCAAAGTAAAATAACTATGCCACTACTACTGATAATAGTAATATATTATTAACCTTCAAAACCAATTCACAATGAAGTTTGTCCTTTTTACTATTACATTTCAGGGCTCATAAAGTGCTTGGGTGGAGTATGTTCCTTTGTCACTTACCTTTGTTCTTTAAGTAAAAAATTAACTTAGAAGTGCTACAAACTGCATTAAAAAAAATGCACACAGAAATTGAGTACCAGGGTTTATTTTGAAGTATGCTGTCTCAGTATTAAGAACTGACTGTGCTGGTATGCATCATGCTTATTATAAGAATTGATTCATGAGTAGCAAAATAAAACTACACTTGTCTGTT